CAATGTCTCAGGCATTGGGCAATCTGTCCGCTGCCACTTCATATTATAACTTTTTGTGATGTAGCTTTAAGGGTCATGAAACAATTTGAACGTCTGCTTCCTATCACCCCTGCTGTGAACAGTCCTGACTCAGTAAATCTATAGAACTGCGCATCTAACCACTCAGAATGACTTTGGTTGCATCATAACAATTCAATTATGCAGAACTTGTGAAACATTGAATTCCCCTTTAACACTCACACAAAACATAGGCTAGCTCTTGAAAATAAAATACCTACTTAGGAACTCAGGGCAAAAACTGACCTGATATGTTATTATTATCATATTAGCCAGTTTAACAAATTGTATGCGATCCTTTTTTCTGAGTGCCTTTTTTATCCTTTGTGCGTTGGAAATAAAGCAAGTTATTTAAGGTGGATGAGGACAGTGAATGAACCGAAATGATTCACAAAATAATAGTCACAATTACCTGTATTTATCTGGGGCATTGAGTCGAGTATATCACGACAGGTATGACTCCTTAAAGATACCTGTTACTCACACACAAATTTCCACAGCGGTGTTAATACAGGAAAACTGCTGCTGCAGATTCAGAGCCTTCCTTTTACACTGAGGTGATTTACAGTTGGAGGTGAGTGTAAGCTAACCAGTGACTGCGAGTAAACAGATAAAACGTGTACAGCGCAGTGAAAGTTATGATGTATGGCGTTTCTGAAGTGCTGTCTGGAAAGCGATGCCCGCTAAGGTACCTTTTCAGTACTGTTCAACAAGAGAGGTGCCTTTGAAGGCAGTGACTAGTCAGGCAGCTGTCTCCAGAACGGAACACACTAGTTGCTTCAACATAACAGTTTTATGGTTAAGTTAACTAGGCCACAACTGTACACAGGCTAATGCAACTGCACTAGATACTCGATGAACTTAAACCCATAAGGTAATTAATCGATGCTTACGTATTGCAGAACTTCGCTGACTCACAGAGAGGGTTTCTGGAGCGAAGAGGTGTGTGTGTGTGTGTCTGTGTATGTGTATATAGAAGGGTGTGGTGAGTGGTGTTTAAGGCTATGCACTCTGATCACAGACCAGGCTACTCCCTCTACACTGTTTCATCTAGATAATCCACATGGCGCCTTCACCAGCTCTCAAACCAAAACAATCAGAAATAATTAAAGTGTATGAACTGAGAATCATCATAAGTCAATTTCCCCTCTATAATTACAGTCAAGCAGAGTGATGTCATTGTTATGACCTCAACCTCTTGATTGATCAGGTTGTCAGTGATGTGATTAACCCAGCTTGAAATCACACTGTATATTATTTTAAAAAGGTTCAGATTCATCTGCTATTTGTTGATGTCATTTAGCTAAAGTTGCTGGATTTGTCCTACATAACACCAGAATGATAAGCGCTAAAAATTATCTAATTATCTCTTCAGCAGTAACCCTGTTATGGCACATCTCAAAGCTGCTGAAGCGAGTTCAGAAATAGTAAGTGCACTTCAAGAAGACACTGAATTACACCTGAATCACACAAATATTTCTGCAAATTCAATCTGCTACTTAAGGATCCTGCTGGCAAGAGCTATAAAGAGCCATGCCGAGAGTCATGCCGTCTTTTCTGTCCATGCAGCTTTTATGTAAGAGTCGGCAAGCTGTTGCTCACTTAAGACCTGTTCTCATGCAACAGACCGAATACCAATGACTGACTTAACTGTGCATATTTCTGAAAAAACCTGCGTCACCTAAACAAATCTTCAACGATAGTAGAATTAGTATGGGTGTAATAATTAACAAAATGCATAAGTCATTTTGGTTTGTTGCATTTCTCAATACAGCAAAAGAAACAGAGCCTTATGTTAATGAGGTAGTATTTCAGTTTATTAGAGCAGTCAAAATTAGTAAACTTCAACCCCATTTTCAAAAAAATTTGGGACACTATGTAAAATGTACAAAAAAAACAGAATGCATTGATATGTAAATCATTTAAGACCTATACCTAATTGCAAGTAGTACAAATACAACATATAAAGAGTTGAAACTGAGAAATTTTATTGTTTTCCGAAAAATATAAACCTGTTGCCAGCACCGCATTTTGAAACAGTTGTGATGGAGCAACAAAAGACTGGTAAAGTTGTGTAAAAAAAAAAATAAAAATAAAATAGGTTAACTGGCACCATGTCAGTAACATGATTGGGTATAAAAAAAGCATCCCAGAGAGACTGAGTCTTTCAGAAGTAAAGATGGGGAGGGGGTTCACCACTCTGTAAAAGACTGCACAGGTAAAGTAGTGCAACAATTCAAGAATAACGTTTCTCAATGTAAAATAGCAAAGAACTTGAGGATATCATCATCTGTGATTCATAATATCATCAAAAGATTCAGAGAATCCAGAGAATTCTCTGTATACAAAGCACAAGGACGAAAACAAATACTGGCTGGCCATGATCTTCGGGCCCTCAGGCAGCACTGCATTGAAAACAGACACATTCTGTAGTGGAAGTCACTGCATGGGCTCAAGAACACTTAAGAATACCACTGTCTATAATCACAGTTCATCGATGCATCCACGAATGCAAGTTAAATCTCTACCATGCAAACAAATAGCTACATAAGCAGGATCCAGAAATACTGCCACCTTCTCTGGGCCTGAGCTCATTTAAGATGGACTGAGGCAAAGTGGACAAGTGTCCTGTGACCGACGAATCAAAATTTTTAATTATATTTGCAATCATGGACGCCGCATCCTTCAGGCTAAAGAGGACAGGGACCGTCCGGCTTATTATCAGCACACAGTTCATAAGCCAGCATCCATGATAAAGTGGGCGTGTATTAGTGCATACGGCATGGGTGACTTGTACAGCTGTGAAGTCACCATTAATGCTAAATAACGGTTCATTGGTTTTGGAGCAACATATGCTGCCATGCAGGTAACATCGTTTTCAGGGAAGGCCTTGCTTATGTCAGTAAGACAATGCCAAACTACACTATTCTGTACAACAAGCAGCATGGCTCCGTAGCAAAAGAGTCTGGGTGCTAAACCGGCCACCCTACAGTCCAGCCCTGTCACCCACTGAAAACATTTGCCGCATTACAAAATGAAAAATACTAGAAAGGAGACCCCGAACTTTTGAGCATCTGAAATCCTATATCAAGCAAGAATGGGAAAACATTTCACTTTCAGAACTAAAGCAATTGGTCTTCTCAGTTCCCAAACGTTTACAAAGTGTTGTTAAAAGGTGATGCAACACAGTGGTAAACATGTCCCTGTCATGTTCTGGTAAGTAGTCAGGATAACTGAAAAGATCTGGTATTTGAACGCCTTCACCATAGGCCTGAGAAATCTTTCAAGAGATCTCTATGGCAGTACACTGCCACTCCAGCCCTACTGTCCACCTACAGATTTCCTGCATTATCATACCTGATTCAGCTCAAGAATGAGTTGATAATTAGCTATGCATGTGTAGGTGGACCTTCAGTTGGGAAACAATGCTTTATGATTTATGTTCCAAGGAACGTACTGTATAAGAGTATGAAAGATTAGACTTAGATCACACCTAAGATTAAAATAGGTACACCTGCAGTTTAACTGATTACATCACTTTCACCCTTTTATGACGTAGCGAAGAACAATACTGGATTTTCCCATTCAATCCATCATCTCTATCTCTATCTCTATATCTCTATCTCTCTCTCATTCACTCACACACACACACACAGCCTGCCCTTTTCAGTCAGCCTAAAACATGTCATGATTAGACTAGTGGAATCAGGTGTGCTTCAGCTTGTTTTGAGTGAAAACCTGCAGCCACATCGGCCCTTTGCGGATAAGATTGGACACTCCTGGACTAGATGTAATGTGGCACATGGGTAGTGTTTGTCTTCTACTTGATGAACATTCATTTTTCTGGAGTACTATGTAGACTCAAAGTATGCTAGACACTCATGCCACCTTTTAACTAAGAACTTGTATATCAACACCTGTGGAGTGTTTCACAAAGAAAGATATCTCTGAATAAATTAAGCCCAAAATGAGGATTGCCAAATCCTAATACTTATTGCTGAATATCTTTTCCTGCTGCAGTGGACTACCCCTGTGCTGCATATTAGGGGTGGGCGATACGGCAAAAATATAAAAAAATCATGATATGTTAAGGCATTGACGCATCACCATATTTAGTTATTATGAAGTTCGCTAAGGTGGAACAGATAAAAAAAGAACAAGTAGTGCTACACCTAAACTATGATTTAAACTGAAAAACCTATATACAATTTTTCTTCAACATTTCACATACAGCACTAAATTAATTCCACTTAAACAGGCCTAAATATGCACTTTAATGTGCTGATATCCCAAAAAAGCATGCCTATTGCATTTTTACTGCATTATTTTCCCTGCTGTTGCTGCTGTGTTGAAAAGCACATACTATCATACTATACATACTACACAAATGAATGCACTACTAACAATTATGTACTAATTTTACATACTATGTATATGGTAATACATGGTTTGGTCACAGCCACTGTTTTTTTATTCTTTTCCTGCCAACCAACAGCCATGCACAGTTTAAGCAACGCTCTGCCCCAACACACCTGATCCAGTTCCTCAAGGGCTTGATAGTAAGCTGATGAGCAGGATCAAGCTGAGGCAGGGAATATAGGGAATTAGTGAAACTGTGCATTGCTGTGGGTTCAAATGAACAGGTTTAAGAAACACTGCAGGGTTACTCAATCAGATCATGCATGGGAGCCACTCCACTGTCCTACTGAAGAGGTTCAACCTTTGGTTTGTTATCCGGCTGACTGAAAAACCCATGGGGATATTCAGAGTTTCAGCCCAAAGTGAGGGCTGTCCAACACGAATGTCCCTGGCTTGTACTCCTGTTGGACAGACTTGACTTTGGCTTTATCTGGCTAACTACAGCCTGGCTTTGTGAAACAGTCTGCTGGTCACGCAAGAAAGGGCAGATTACCAGCCCCCCCCCCAACGAACCCTCCCGTTACCTTGTTTGAATAGGGAGGTCTGGCGAGGTTAATCCCATCTCTGACCAGCTTGTCCCTGATCATGATCTTCAGCTTCAGTTTGGGGTAGATCACCAGCTCCTTGCGGTGGTGCCCCAGGGTCCGGTTCCTCGGCGCCCCCCCGCGGGCCGCGATGCTGCTGCTTTCCTCCGTCCACGACCTGGAGCCCCGCAGTCTGGACTCCAAGGCTGGGGCCGGGGGCATGGGCTCCAAGGTAAAGTAGAGTCCTGAGGCAGTCTCTCTATCCTCCTCCCTCAGACGCCTCACTGCCTCATGGATCCTCCTGCGGTGGTGCGGCGCGAACACGCCGATAGCGTCCAAGTCCGGCTCTCCGATCTGCTTACACACCTCCAGGTCGTCGTAGCCGTTGTCTACGAAAGCCTCGACATACTGACACAGCTGAAGCGTTTTCAGCCACTCGTACACGATGTTTGGCCCACTGCTCATCATTGTGGCGAGGCTAAAAGCAGGCTTGTCCGCGCTGTGCTGTGAACTCGAGTCTGTCACTAAAGGCTAAGCACCTTCAGCTTTTACCTGCCCAGCCTACAGGTTCCCAGCTCCTCCGGGAACAGTTAGGCTAGTTAGCGCAGAGAAAGCTGCTAGCTGTCAAATCTCGACTAAATATTAGGTCAAAAGGTGTCGAGCTCACCTTTTTTACTCCTCCTCTTCGACATCTCAGTCAGCGTGGGTACACCAACATTTAAGCGCTGCTGTAAAGAGACAACTTGCTTCTGTTTGTGTGGAGAACCAAAAGGTAAACAAAACGAGTGAATGAGAAATATCGACGAGAGAGAGCCAACAGTACCGCTTCGGTCACAGACCGCTCACTGACTGACTGACAACTCGGCGGCAGTGACTCGTGTCTCGCCTGAGGCGGATTAAATCGTTCAACTTCACCGAAATCCCATGGTAAACGGCCCGAGAGCTCACACGGACCGGGCTCACGTCTAAACGGGAACGCCTCCTTCGTCCTCGCCGCTACATTTCTCACTGACGAGACGTGGAAACCGCCGCGGAGATTTGTCGACCACTCTGAACAGCTCCTGAAATGAAAACTGTCACAAGCCGGGAGGGAGTGTTTACAAAAAAAGAAAAAAGAAATGAAAACTCTCCCCCTATCCTCCTGCCGTTGTCAGGACGCGTGGTTGCTAACTCTTGCCGAGTCTGGTGCGCGTTCGCGCGCGCGTGGTCAGCTCGTTTGGATTGGAGTGGAGGGCGCGCGCCGACAGCTCTGCTGCTCGCGTCGTTTTTTTTTTGGCTCGCGCCTCCTCAGTAGAACGACCGTTTAAACAGGCGCGGTGCACGCGCGACACTGCCGGCGTGTCATTTCTTAAAAGCCCCGGAGCTTCACACCCTCGAGAGCTGAACCGCGTTTTTTTACTTTTACTTTTTACTTTTTACAGACAGACGAACACAGAGGGCGCGACAGCGAATCGGAACTCAACACACAGATGAAGAGTACGGTGCCTGTTTCCCTGCTCGGTGTTATACCTTCCACGCTTCCCTCCCCTCTGGCTGGCTGGTCGTTGACGTTCGTCCCGCACGCGCCCACCGCGCCCCCCTGTGTTTCACAACCGTTCGAGCACGTGTTTGAAGAGTGTGGGGCTTTAACTATGCGCCTGTTACGGTCTTATTAATTTTCTTTCAGGACGGCGTTTCACAAAATAACACTCCTCAGTAATTTGCATAACTTAAAGGGGAATTCCACCGATTTTTCAAAATGTCTGCATAATTAGGTGGTTGAGATAAAAACAGAGTCATTCAGAGTGGTTTGATGTGAAATGCTTCATTTGTAGAGGAACTATTCATAGACTCAGATTTCTTTACAGTGGTGGTGATGGGAACCAGGGGTCACCATGTCTACAACATAAATACAGCCAGTTTATTTACTATTCAAAACCACCAGTGAACCTACATGTCTTTTGAATTGTTTATATGTAATGTCGAGGTAATGTCGTGGTAAAATAGTTGTCACCTCAAAAATAAGATCTATTTGGGGACTATTTTGCCTTACGACGACCTTCATGTATCCCTTTACCATGAATAGATTAAAATAAATTTATTACAATTTGTTTTAGGCCAAAACATTATCACAAAACTACCATAGATCAATGTCCCAGACATCGAGCTGTCCATTTATAACTATTTCAAGTAACAGCTTTTTGTGAGAGAGCTTTTAGAGGCATTCAACACTTCGGATGTCTGGAACTGAACTGAAAGTACCGCCTGGCTGAGGCAACACTCTCGGCGCGACTCATCTCGCACACATTCATGGTCTCCACACTTTCAAAGATTTTCCCCAGTACAGGAATAGAAATGGGCGGACCATTAGCCCATTCAAATACTGATACTAATTGAAAACACATGCATCCACAGTGCTGGACATCAGTTTATTGCGTTTTATGAAGTCAGGCTTAACGTCGTGGTCTCACTGGCAAAGAAGTAATATTTCAACAGCAATGTGGGTTTAGCTTCTTGTCAACTGGAGTACTTGAACGTGCAGGTATCGGATATCATCACATTCCTTTGCTTACCGCGCCTCCTAGTGGACACGATCAATACTACACGATGTTCAGAGTTCGATCATTTCTTCATTCAGGTTAACGACAGTTCTGCGCACGGTCTCCTAAAATCAGCAGAATGCAAAGCAGGTTATCGGTTAGGAATCATCTTCAACGTCATAATCATTATTACGCAACAATGGTACATGTAGGTGCTCTATGAGAGTAAAACAGGGTGATGTAATGTAGTTGAAATCTGTCCTGTGAGCTGACATTAAGGCCGGTTTTCCACTGCAGGTTCAAAGACTAGAACTGATGCAAACGGGAACCAACAACGGTTCTAGTTTTAAATTACTTTTCAGTTCTTTGAGACTGCAGCAACTGTCATAATAACCGCTTTAACGTCATTTAAAAATACAATATAATTGTGTTTTTGATCATTTTATGCCACTAAAGCATCTAATTTGGCTAATTGGCTACACTGCTTGCTTGTTAGTTAACTTATTAAGTGATATGAATTATACATTTATACATACTACATTTACTACAATTATACGTTATACATTTCTCTGTAGAGTGTGAAAATATTAGCAAAAACATTTAAGGAGGCTAGCATACATGCTAAAAACGTTAGCGTTCTAACTAGCTTATGCCCCCATGGCAAAATCTTAAGAAATCATTTTCAAAAATAACAACTGACACATCAACATACCATTTTAGCTTACATTCTGTTGCACTTATCGGTCATGTTAACATTGTTAGTGTCTATCTATACCTGGAAGAGTAAAGAATTTACTTCTTATTAAATATCCTGCTTAGTTATACTTAATATTTTACCTCATTCGTCCATGGGTGTCCGTGTATGAATTTAGTCTAAGCCTAATGAATGTTATTAATATTCTGACTTAAGTATTTCATTGATTTATAGTATTAAGCTCTACATTAGTGGTTCCCAACCTCTTCATATGTGTGGATCAACACAATCACAAAAAATGTTCATGGACTAGCTGGATAAACCACCAAGTTTATCCTAATATACTAACCAATCCAAACCTAAAACTAAGTTTAGTCTTGGCCTCTAAGCCCATCCCTGAGAAATCCTGATTGTTGCAGAGAAGCATTTTTTTTTACTTTAATTAAATGCGTTAAGTTCATTTCTGACTTCAAGCATTTTTGTTTTACCTCAACTAATTGTGTTCAATAAAATTTGGGGTTGAGAATTGTGGGAGGGAAGATGTTGTTGTGACAGTGAGGACAGGCAGCTTTATTCTGTATGAACTGTGGATGGATTTTTAAACTTTCAGTACTAGAGAAAAGAACATGAAGTCTTAATTCATAATGATGAACATGAAAAGTTGCATGTGAAATCATATCAATGTATGAATTACGTTGTGCAATGCATATGCTTACACCAGCCTACATCAATAAGATGTCCTGTCCCAATCACTCAAATGTTACATGACAAAAAAGGTTTTGTCAGTTTACAAAAAAGGGTATGGCATGCCTCTTTGGAATAACCTCCCTCACAACCTCCTTTCCTCCTCAAATGGATAGATAACATCTTCGGTATTACAGATGTATCATGTGTTGGGCTAGTGTTATGAAGTGAACTATGACTTTGCAGACAATTATTATTCATTTTATTTATTATTATTTTGCAACACAATGCACACCAGAACTGATTTTTAAATTATTTTTATTTCCCATTGCACAGTAATTTCTATCTACAGAAATTCTAAATCGTTTGTGGCAGCAGATATTCATAAACATCCATGTGAAATTTGCATAAAACTGTACAAGAAAATTGGCTACAATGAGAAAAATACTGCAACCCACTGATAACCGCTATATGGAGGACAGAAGATGGAGGATGAGAGAGAGGATCTTCTTCATATCAGAAGTATACTAGTTCAAGATACAATGTTCTGAATTGGTGACAAAAATTATTGACAGTTCACTGAAAGACAAGATAAACAGTTAAAAAAAACAAACAAAAGGAATCAAAATTCAGGACAAGAGACGGGAAAAATATCGGACATCTTATTTTCCTCAAGTATTTTTTTTTCTTGGAAGGTTACAAAGGGCTAACAACCAACATCCACACTTACGTTGCATACTAAATCGTTATGAATCAGAAATTAAGCAAACCGGAAGTGTGACCTGAAAACTGGCTTTAAGAGGATACATAGCCTGAGAGTGGCTCAAACACTGTACTTATTAATTATTGAAACATTTACTCATACACACAGATCAGATTACTGATTGACAATGGTAGTGGGGATCTAGGACATCCAGGTTTTCCCATAATGACTTCCAAGTCCTTAAAAAATTGTAGCAGATTACGCATGAACGTTATCCATCTATCACAGTCAGTCATACTAGTCTCTCTATAAAATGCTGGATTTGGTTCGTTTGTGCTAAACCCCTTGGCACACTCCGAAGTCTTCAGCTCCAGACTCTCTGTATATAGACATGCACAGCATTACACGGTCAGCACACACTCTTATTCAAACCCATGATCATCTTCACCACTCCGTGAATGCAGACAATTCATAAGCTGAAACCACTGTACGAAGACACAAATGTGCTGGATAACAGGACCGACAATGTGTTGTCCACCAAGTCTGAGTCAGCTCACAGTTCCTTTCTTTTCAAGGCATACACAAAAAAAGAAATGTTACAATGATTAAGAAGACAGAAGGGACCGTAGACAACCATAAATGAATCAACCAGGACTGGCAAACTAAGAGAAAGGAAATAAATGACAGTATATTCAGACAACTTGGCATGGAATACTGTAACACATAGAATCAAACACATAGAACCACTAATAGTCTGAAAGAGGTTGGCTTAATTCAGTTTTTATCCATTCTTTTTTTCTTTTTAAAAGAATCGGATAAAAACACAAAAGGCTTCTATTTATTGTTGGCACAAGGCCAAGGACAACAGGTGAGACCTCAATAGTACAACTACTGAACTCCAGAGAGGTCGGGCACAGATAGGTGTAAAAGTGGACTACACAACTCAATAAAAGTAAATCTTTGGCGTTTGAAAAGATATGGCAACTGTTTCTGCACTTATTCATCAGCTCCCGCTCTTTGTGTTACGGTCCCAGATTGTCAAACTAGTTTTATTTACAGAATGGCAAACACTTTTGGGCAGAGAGGCGAGAGAGAGAGAGAGAGCTTGAAGCATCAAAACCAGTATCTAGACAGACAAATGAGTCTTCTTATGCACAAACATATATAGCAGCATTTTTCTTGCACACCATAAATCAAACATATTTATATAATCACACTGAAAGTAGTTTCAAGAATAAAATGGAGCAGTGTATTGATAAGAGATTGCTGTAATGTCTTTCTTTTTCACCATTTTTGAATGTACAATTGTCCACGAGAAAGGCGCACACACTGGCTTCAAACAAATTTCGACAGCTGGTATGGCTTTAATAACAAGATGAAGTCTCCATCCCAAAGTGACCTAAACTGTGGACTGTGAGTCCAATAGGAAGATTGGCAGACTACATTACCCATGTGTCACTGGTGTAAGGCCAGTTTACCTTCCAACAGTAAGCAGAATGCGGATCCTACAGGCAAACACTGATCTTCAAGTGAAGCCCATCAGAAGTGGACAACACGTTTCAAATGCGACATCTTCCGTGTGGATTGGTGAACTTAGGCCAGACCTGATATATGAACTTGATCAAACATACAATAATTCCTGAACGTCTACAGTACAGGTTCCTTTATTTCCACAGCTATGTGCCGTAAGTGCTTCTTATGTCTCAAACAAAAAGCCAGCACTTCTAAATGAGATACGCAGAGCAAAGTGCAACCTTCTGAAATTATAAAGTATAAAGTAAACATAAAGTATAAAACAATCCCAGTGTAGACTGGGTACATGGCACAAGTTGCCAAAAAGGGTGAAAAAAAAAAAACATTTTAACACATGTAACTATTCACTCCCAGAGTAGAGCTGTGATTGTGTTACATGTGTACTATTTCTGTCATTCCAAATACTAGATGATTCCAGCTTGATGGTGCCTTGACTTTCCAATATCTAGATTTCCCTTATCTATAACCAAACCAGCCCTTTTCCACAGTAAAGTTCATGGGAGGTTTACACTGGAAGTCAACATTGGACCTCTGGACAGAAGATCACATGAAAATACCATCTAAAATACTTTTTTCTACTAGGTTTATAAGTAGTCAATGCACAATTCCCATGGATCTGTATTATTCTCTATAATTATTTATATCTAGATTATCTATCAACTAATTATAAACCCTTTGGAGATGGTACTTTAATGTAAAGTATTATTGTACTTATATTAACAAACAATTCCCAAATGTGAATCAAAATATCATTCAAAAAGCTTTCAATATTGAATTAAACATTTACAATAGATATTAAACATTACATTTTGGGGTTGTCTTCTCATTAAATACAAAATAAAAAGGAAATAAATAAATGGGAGGGAAGAGACTACAGGGCCACAAACAAACAGAGGAATGGCGTTGGTGTACGATGACAACATGAACCTGACCCAAGAGGAGTCCTGATAAAGGGGAAAGAGAGCGAGTCTCGGGTTCATTAGTACAGCCCATCAATACAGTGACATCACTTCCTGTGAACTGATACGTTTCAAATGCTCTGCCCACTTTACTCCAAATGTGAGCTATCCTCTTGATGTGCACTCGGCAGTCACCAGTTAACACGGCTTCGATCAGTTTAGTAGTTTTATATAGAGATTTATGTAGAATTATGTATATGTACTCACTTTTCCCACTTACGTTTCTCTTAGATTTTTTACAGTGTTCTTTTTATTTCTTTTTTAAAATGTATTATTTTGTTTCTGTTTGTCTTTTTTTCCCCACTGGTGTTCCTCGTGAGAAGGACAGAGGTGAACGCAGAAACGACAGCGTGAATATGAGGAAATGGAACTGCACGGCCCTTGAGAGACAATTCGCCACAGGAGGGAGGATGGCAATAATAAAGAAACAAAACAACAAAAAAGCAGACACTGTCGTAGTGGTTGTACTGTTATCTTTTTTGAGCTGTGGTCCATGTTTCATACACCCCCCTGCAGATCCTACAGCAGGACTGAGGTCAACACAGTATTCAACATTGTGCCAAGAAAGAAAGAGGGATCCAACTGTTCCAGCAGAAAAGAGATGGAAGAAGAGGAGGAGAGAAGAATGAGAGGAGGATAATGCTCTTTAGGAAGGTGGCTGAGTCCCTTTAGGCTCTGTGCTGGTCCGCAGATCAGAACTGGTACCATTTCTTGTCCTTACACTTCAGCATCATCTACAGAACACAGGAAAGACATCACATGTAATTATACAATTATTTATATTTTTAGATTTTCTTTTGCATTATATCTTGTTACGCAAAGCAACCATTCTGAAAATAGCACAGTGACAAAATATTAGGAAACCAGTCATGCACCTGCCATCAAGTCATGCAATCCAATCAACTGATCATGTGTCAGCAGCACAATGCATAAAATTCTGACTCAGGTCAAGAGCCTCAGTTAACATTCAAACATCAAAATGGGAAAAAATATGATCTAAGTGACTTTGACCGAAGCATGATTGTTTTGTATGGCATAGCTGTCAGACCAGGTGGTTTGAATATTTCAGAATCTGTTGACAGATGGTTATAGTATGCAGTCTTGTGTAACTCTTTGCCAATGTGGAACCAGTGAGGTTTTCAATTTTCTGTCCTCACCATAGCTAGCTGATCAGTGTAGACCAGGCGCATCCAAACTTTTTTCAAAGAGGACCAGATCAGACCATGTCAAAATACATGAGGGCTGAAATATTATTCACAAATAATTACAAATATTAAATTTTCATTATATTAAAAATACAGCCATGTGGAGCAATTAATCAAAACCGGGCATCTTGCTGGCAATCCATTTTGAAAATGAGTTGTTGACCCCTGTAAAAAAAGCGTAAGGAGTACCTTACATCATCACAACCCCTTACACACATATAAATCTGCTGCCAGAGACGTTACAGTGCACAGATGTTCACACTGGTCAGGGTGAATGCATCAGTGTGTAAAATCAGAGCTATCAAAGATACAGTGATAAGGTACAGTGATCACTGTATAAAGTAATTAAAGAAGCCCCATTTTTTTATTTGGTCTTAAAGGTTAAATATTCACACTTAAAATCTGTCCGCAGGTTGCATTTGGCCCTGGGGCCGGACTTTGGACATCCCTGGTGTAGACTCATCAACCTTGGAAGAATGAGATGCGATTTTTTTTAAATGTGGCAAAACCCATGTATTTCATGTGATTTAAGATCAGGCTTGTACCTCGTGAGCGTGCTTGGAGAAAGAGTCGGCGCTAGCCATCATAGCCGCTGTCCTCTCCTCCACCTCGCTCAGTTTCTGCCCCCTTTCATCTAGTGCTATCCGTGCGCGAGCCAGGTCACCCACAATGCCCGATGCTGCCCCCTTCATGCCCTCGATGCCCCCCGGGCCAGGAATGTGCTGGGCGAGGCTCCGGGACGCCTTCCCTGCACCTGACTCCCCAACTGAGAAGAGACAGAGAACAGGGGGAGGGATGTAGAGATTTCAGAATAAGCTAAAACATTAGTGGTCCTAGATTTTACCCACAGCCATACAATACTTAGGCAGAGGTGTCTAATTCCAGTTCTGAAGGGCAGAGTCGAAAACAGTTAGGAGTTTTCCCTGATGAAACATACCTAAACTTATCAGTTATTTAAAAGTTTTAGTAGGTGTGTTTCGGCAGGGAAATCACAAAAGTGTTCTGGACCAAGGCCCTCCATTACCAGAGCTGAGCACTGCTGACCTGATGCTGCATACATTGTACTCAAAACTCAGGAAAATATGACCTTGGCCCAGATTTATGCAAAGGAATGGTCACTTAAGTCAGAATTCCCAGTCAGAAAGTCAGGCAAGATGTGTGTTTTTCTTTGCTGCTGATTTTTAGTCATGCTGTTATGTGAATTATATAAATTTATATTAAAATTATATAAATATAACTCCTTATAAATTAAACAAACTATTATTATTATTATACAACAGTTTGCTGCCAACATTCATTTTTTCCCAAAAAGAATCACTGAAATGCATTCACATCAAAATTGGGAGTATAGATTCAATAAAATCCAACTTCCGAGTACAATGAAACGGAGCTCAATACACATTTGTATTTGCTGCTAAGGATTAAGTATACATCGTTAAATTGGATAAACTGACCTACATCTAACAATATTGTTGCTAAAGGCTCCACATTTGCTCCATCTTAATGTTTTCTGTCTTGTACTTATCTGTCTGCAGAGTTCATTGTAGAGTGTATTGTGTCAGTTGTCTATATTTACCGTACTGACTTTTGTACTGTTGCCACCTTATCCTGTCGCTGTTGTTTCTCGTTGAATGTAGCACAATGCTTCCACGTTTATTATAAACTATTATTTCAATTCTGACTCAAAACCTGGCTGTGATGGTTTTCTTTCAATCCGTAAGACATCTAATTAAACTATCTAAGTCTTGGCTAATGAAGTTAAGCAATGAAACTGAAATTGAGACAGATATGTCACCACAGCAAGAAAAGCTTGGAGCAGTCTTTTTCTGGAAAAGATGTGATAGAGCCAAAGACTGCTGTAGTACAGAATAATACAGTCGTTGTGTAAAGACGCAGACCACACACAGTGAAGATGCTCGTGAGGGCCACAGCTGAAGAACAGAGCTGATTGTTAGGCACAGGGGCCTGGACAGCCATTCCTCTCGGTCGGAGATGTTTAGAGATGATAACCTCAGCCAAAATGCCTGTGTGGTCTTTTTCCTTTCACTGAGACACGCATACACACCCACACAAGTACTTTAAAGTCATCCTGTGTTTTGAGTCTCCCTTCTGTGAATTTGTGTGCAATGTGCAGAAAAAGGAAAACAAGTTTCATTCTCACAGAGTTCTTCTCTGTCCAGTGACTGCGCCCCTCCTCCGAAAAGGCCCTTAAAGAATCCCCGGTTTGGAGCCTCTGGCGTCTCTACCGGAGTGAACAGCTCACCCAGCATCTCCTGAAAGTGACATGCATGTCATAGTTCAGTTAAAAATTACATTGATACAATTTTCCCTTAAAGTATGTGTCCACTTGCAACGTGTCCTCATCACATCCCATTCATTTCAGTGGAAAGCTCTGCTGCATTGCATGGTACATAATGGTTCGTGGAGAAAAAGTTCAGCAGATTTCAATTTCATACAAATAAATGCGGCTGCCGCATTGCATTTAGCTAACCAGGCAAGAGTAGACCTTCATCTTTGTCACAAACGTCAAACAAGGCGTTAAAACATTCTCTGAGAATAGAGCGGGAAAACAAAGACTCTCTTACTGTTCTTCGAATCCATGACAGTTTAGCATAATGATAAAAATATTTGGTTTTATACATGACTGTTGACAGTGAAGATGTGGAGAGAAGACACTTGATTAGATAAAGTTTACATCGTTCAAGCAGGAAGGCAAAATTTCCATCATACACAGCTCTAATATTACTTGCTAAGGTAGCTTGCTAGTGAGCTGGCACGAACTAACATGTGACTGCTGCTTTCTGAAAATTATAAAGACGTGAAAACAAAAAGTCTATGCTGCTTAAAAACAAAAAAGAAGCTGTTTGTTAATTTCCACAACAAAAACGATATAGAAACGCCCACTGGCAGTGAGCAGAGGGATCCTGCGCAGCAAAACGTGTCAAGAAAAAGTACAAGTGGACGTGCAGCGTTACCCCAAATGTAGGTGAGGCTGATGTCGCTAAAGTAAGTCGACTTAAGATAACCTCTCCACGTTGTTTGAGGCAAGTGTCTAATAATTCCATTGATTGTTACATTACACGGTACATTACCCTTGTAACCCAAGTGAAAAACTAAAGATGCAAAACTTACAGTCGTATGGGCACCCCGGTCAAATTGTTTGTTTGTTGTACATCCTTTACAGAGAAGGCACTTCTGCACATTTTTATGGACGTTTACTATTTATTTGCTGAACTTAAGATACTGGGGGGAAAAAAAAATAACGTGGCATGTGCAGAAGTTATGACACTTTTAACATGTTATCTTTTACTTTTCTCCAATATGTTAAACTTAGCAAATAAATAGAAACTGTGCAGAAAATTGCCATTTTAAAGTGTGTTCTCTGTAGAGGATGTGTTAACTTATTTTCACTTAAAACTTGTAATATGACCAGGAGTGTTCAAATTTTTGCATATGTCTGTCTTGGTTGGTAATTTGGGGTAAGTGGAAAATTGTCTAAATTAGATTTTTTATGTATCCTATGTATTAGGTTCTGTGTTTTACAATTAAGTTATTCCAGTTTAGCTAGTCTACACTGTAGCTTATTACTCCAATTTTCAAGGCACTGTATTGTTTTTACTGACCTGCAGATTCTCACAGACATCCTGGCTGTACGTTATCCTCTGAATCTCAGTGGGGGAGGTCAGGTACATAGCCTGGCCCAGGTTAGTAAAGCAGAAGGTTCTGGCTATCCTCATGTCTGTCAGTGGCAGGTAGTTGACATCCAGTAACGGTCTCAGCCCTGGCAAACTGTAGGCACAGAACAGATACAGACTCTGAGATTTGGACTGCAACAGCAAATATTCCTGAGCATAGGCTTAAGCACGATGGTCCTTTCTGACTGCAGCTCAGACAGAGCCTCCACATGTCTGAACAGGAGTTAAGGTGAAGTGCACATTATGTTCTGGAGATGTGGAGGTGGATGGATAACCCAGAACCTTTGTGTTCATTAAACATTTGTCCTTCACAAGTGTAGAACACCTCTCTAGGAGCCAGGGAACTAAAAATCACTCAGGTGTACAAACGGAAAGCATAGTGAAGCACAGAGCTTACGCTGTAGCCTTTTCCTCCAAATCTGCACAGTTACCTAACCAGAACTTATGACCCTAAGTATCCAAAAAAAAGAGAATCTGTGCTATCAAGTGTTCTGACATTTGATTGAACAGATAGCTTTGTCCTTGGCTGTGACAGACAGAGAGCGCCGCGCAGATGTTGGCCTGCTCTCTGCTGTCCTTGCTGAAGATTTATGAGACGGCGGGAGATCACTACACAGACAGACAAGGTCCAGACAGTGCTGATCTGCGCGCGGCACAGTGTCTCCTCCCATCTGCGTTACCCTGGCGACAGCCCTGCCGGCGCTGACTTTCCCAAACAATAGGACGGGAGGACAACGTTCCAAACCAAAAATAGGCGGATTCGGAACATGAGCACACATGCTCCGTCAACATCTGGCCAGCAGCAATCTTTCACATCGCCAAAACACTCCCCTCGGCACAGGACTGCAGCGGGATCTTTTGAGGGCAACACAGTTTTGCGTTTAATCATCAGAACTTTCTTCAAGTATGCTTTCCTTAAAATGAGACTTTGAAACTTCCTGAGTCTGTATGTTTAAACCAACCAAATGTACATGATTTTCTCCTTAAAGAAATGTAGTCAACACGTCTGATGTCTGAAGTTTTTCTTTAGTTTCGCACTGGAGCTACAAGGCTAAGGTAGATAGGAAGTAAAGGAAGCTTACACCCAACCAATAAACAATGAGCAAACTACCTCATACAGTCATGTGCAAAAGTTCAAATTACTTGAACAAACTTGCTTGAAATTACTGTTGATTTTTAAAGTGAAATACTAATATTAATGATTTTAATATTAATGTAAATGTGCAAATTTTCCACACATTTTAGTGCATAATTTTTATTTATTTGAATTTAACATATTTGAAAAAGTGTGCTGCAATTTTTGCACAGGCCACAATTTATGTTCTTTCTTTCCCCAAGTATGTTAAATCCAGCAAAAAATAAGTAATTTTGCATTAAATGTGCAGAAGTATGTTCTCAGTAGATCATTTATACTTATTTTTACTTAGAAAAAAAAATATATTAGGGCCAATCAAATTTTTGCATACTAAACTTGCCTCAAATGCCTTCTAGGTGGCTGCTGCTACTTCTTTTAGCTATGTGACACACTTCTGCCAATTTTAATAGATAACTATGTCACACAGTGTCAGAAACCACATAAGCAAATGCATCTAGGCATGTGTTTGTATGATGCTAAGTGGAGGGGAATAAGCTTCCGTTATTTGTTATTTGTTGTTATAAAGAAGCAAACTTCAGACACTGACTTTAATGACTGACTACATGTGATAAGGGAAAACTGTGTAAATTAGATTAGCAAAACAATATACTAATACATATACTTTGCTTTCAACTCCTGAGTGGAGGTCCATAAATACATACACTTTTCAGAAATGAATGACAGCACTGTCTCATGGCATTTTAGATTTCTGATGGATTGTGTTTTGCTATGAAAATAGACACCTCATTATCTTACATCACTGTACCACTCTGCCACAGTGTGGAACTCCAGGGCATGTACATAAAATGCATTGTCTGTCTGGAAAAATACAATTACCCCAGATTCTGTTTCCATGACGAGTGGTCGGAATAGGCAGAGGGTTTAACCTACTGAAAATGCATATTAATCTATATATAATGCACTCTGTCAGGCCTAAACAAACTGAAAAAAGTAAAAAAAAAAAATTGAAACCGTTGACACAATGTAAACTGAATGTAAACATAATTAATTACATGACAATGCAAATACTTTTTGTATTCCAACAAAATAGGAAAACAACAATAATAACTGTAGATTTTTAAGGGTTCAAGGCTCAGTAATGGCTAATGCTACCTACCTGAGGGTCATGATGTGGCCGTTTGCACAGAAGCAGGCCACACAGATGCCAGGGCCAGTCTGTACCACATCAGCCCGCAGGACAAAGGATGTCTCGGTGATGTTGTGCTTGAAGATGCAGGTTTGTGAGGGCAGGGCGATCACTTTGGCCTGTTTCTCTGAGCACACCACGGCGTACTGGTGCTCATTCAGTTCTTGCGAAGTGGACGGAGAGACAGACACTGGACGTCTCTTCCTCACCCTCTCTCTCTCCTCACCGTTAGCTGGGGCGTTGGGCTCATACCACAGCTCAGAGGGCGGGGGCAGGAAGGACCCAGTAGCATCTAGGAAGGCCATCCGGAGGATGCTGCCTTTTAGTCTGATGAGAGTGCCTGTATAGAAAGGTGGCGTTAGCATTTGATCAGAGTCAAAAAAAAAATGCAGACAATACCCCCCTTGTGTACATGTATATGCACTTGTACACTGCCTACTTTTAATATGAGTGATTGTCACTGTTTTTAGTACTCCTGAAAAGGTTCTCATAATGTAAAGTTATTTGATTCATGTTCATCAAATTGTCTTTTGTGTTATAAAGAGTACGTTTTCCTAAACAGTGATTTGATTGTTTTCTTTTACAAAATATTTTTACAAGCAAATTTTGAAAATATTTTGCTTCAAAGGTGCCTTAAAGGGGAATTCCACCAAATGCATTAATGTTATTATTTAATTATTATTTAAAAATGTATGCGTAATTAAGCATTAAAATGTAAACAAGTCATTCAGAGTTTTAAAGTGGTTTGATATGAAAGGAACCGATCTAGAAAAACTTCCCCGACAATGGGGACCAGACATGAGGTGAAGAGTTCAATGCCTCTAAAGGTTATCTCACAGAAAATGATTACAAAAAATTGTAATAAATATGTTACCTGGAATATTATTTTACAATACAAAATGGCTACATTTGCATACATCGCAACCCCTGAGTCCTTTCACCACTACTGTAAAGAAATCTGAGTTGGTCAATTTCTCTATAATAAACTACTTCACATCAGTTTTCTCTCTGAATGATTTTGTTAACATTTCACACAAAAAACCGTAATGTTTACAAATCTGAAAAATCTTTTTAAAAACCTAAAATGTCAGAGTATGTCAAGATCACAAAAAAGGGATAAAATGTGTGGAGCACAGTATTATTCCCACAGTAGCAATTTTGTCAGATTTGAGAGTTTTTGCACAGCATAATAGCAATACCTAAAGAGTTATTTATCTAATTTGTTAGGTTATTGTTAATTAACAAAGAGAACATGCTGAATTATTTAAAAGATCTTAAAAAGCTAGGGCTCCCCAAACCGTAGAACAGCAATGTAACATGCTTCTACACTGAGGGTGACTCACCACTGGGTGAGACGATGACTGGCTGCAGTAGCCTCTGCTCTCCAGCTGGGGGCATGCTTAGGGAAATGGAGAGGACAGTGCCCAGAGAAGTGCCCACCCACAGGGCTGGGGTCAAGGTGCTGTCTGTCTTACGTGTGTACGTCTCACAAAAGTAGAATGATGTGATGGCCTCGCGTGCTTCTTTATCGATGCTGGTCACACTGGAGCTCCGTGAGCGGCTGAAGGAGTTGTCCCTGTTGTCTAGGGGTAATGCAGCCCGCGGGGGACATACAGAGAGTAGGACAGTAGGGAGAAAACAAAAAGAGGTAAAGCACCCACTCGAAACTGACTACATTAAATACACACTGTAATAGTGATACATGGGTGAAGAGTGATTACTGTTGCTTTGTTTGACCAGTTATGTAGAAAACTGAATGAGTAGTCATTGTTGCATTGCTTATGTTGAAATGCTGAAAGAAAAACTCAAATAAATGGCATCCTCCTGTCGTGAAAATGTTTTGATCATGACACAGTGACACTGCTGACAAACTGAAGATATGTTTTCCTCTTTGAAAGGCGAATGCACTGGATGACCACATGACTGAGATGTTGCTGAAAAGATTTTCACTTTAGGCTTTGGGTGGGAATTTTGTCCCAAAGCCTGTGAATGTATATTTCCTTTGTAACTGCAGAAGACCTATCTTTCTGTTGAAGGCTCTGCCAGTGCCTTCAGACATTGCTGTGAAAAAGTGTTACAAGAAATTCCTGCAACCTTTCAATTAGTTTAGCACCTCTGTCTGCTAGCACAATTGGTGACAATAATTGGCATACAAAACGTCTATCGGCATATAAAGCCCTGGGTTATGAAATAATCATAATTTTTATAGGATTCCCAGAAGGCCTGAGGTCAATTTAATTTCTGTTCAGCACCTTCAGATTCAATATTGCAGATTTTTATTGCTCATATGTAATACATAGCTTGCTTTGCAATTCTTACTTGGGCCAGTTTCCCAGGTACATGTTGGAAAAATGTAATGTAGTACAAAATTCAATATAAAATACAATATGGTAAAACAAAAAAGATGAGCCCTGTGCAGGGGGGGGTCTCCATGCTCCAATCCAATAATAGAATTTCACAACTAGCCCCAGAGGCAAAAGAGTGTAGGGAGCAGAAAGAAAAGCACACGCAGAGTAGCATAAAATGAGGGTAGAGGTTTTGAAATAGATTTGATTTCTGTCAGAATGTTCATGTGAGATGTGACCAGGCACAGCTGTTTATCATCTGTAATGTTTGAGTGTTCTTTGTGGTGGTCAGTGTTTTGATTGCATCCTTCTAGCATTGATTTATTACACAAGAGTAGTTTGTGGAGAGGGTGTTTATGTCTTATATACAGAATGTAACAGAATTTGCACTATTGCCAAGGCAATGAATCAGATATAATAACACATTTTTCTTCTGTACCTTATTTCAGAGTGAAACTCAGTATCAGGGAGGGTCTCCGAGATGTGTTTTTGCTTAAATAAGGGGGGGGGGTGCTAGGAGGGGGAACTGAAACATGATATTGCTGGCTAATATTATTTTCCCCAACTACTTGTGCATGGTGAGGTAAAAAAGAAAAATCAGAAGACTTTTTAGAGACTGGAAAAAGATATTACATTATGATGGAAGATGAAATTTTGCTTTTAAATGACATTGTATGATGACTCTTGCTTAATATGACGACGCACATCAACTAACAAAGTTAAAAAGGTCAATTTGATTACAGGTTGGTGATCCAATATATTTTCCTGCATATTATCTAATAGGACTGTGATGCTATGGATGCATGCCTTTTACTACAGTCTGAAACTGGCTTTACTTCAGTGAGCCTACATTTTAATGAAGTAGCAAATTAATTAGCTGAACTGAAATGACTGAAGTTGACCTCAGCCCTTACATATGGGATTTTACCCTTACAAATTTAAGAATGCTCCTTTTTGTACTTAAGGAGCTATGAACATAGAACAAAAACAGTGTTCAGGCTGGAAAGTGTGACATAGGTATGTTTTAGAAAACCATGGCCTTGTTGAAGCATCAAAAACTGGCCAAAGTCCTGCTAACTGGGACTTTGAACAAGCTACTACTGCTGAAAATAGTTTCTCGAAACACATTTCATACTTTTTTTTTTTACCACCACCAAGATATTGATCTGTTCAATTAGGCAAACTCCACCACTTCACTGCAGCTACCAGCTTCTGAGTCATTGAGATGAGACTTAAATGACGACTCTCCAGACTCCAGACAAATGTGATGATGTAGAACCCCATTTTTCAAAAAGCTATGAAGTATGAACACAAAGTCAAAGCTTACCCAAGTCTGGCTTTAGCTCAGTAGGCAAGCTTAATTTCCGTGACATCTTTGCTGGAAGAAAAAAAACACCCCTCTTTACAAACCTTCTAGAACCTTCCAAAACAGTCATGCACTTCTATGCTTGGGGAAAACATGTGACAACATAGCTAAAGGTTCAGCCGTAAGAAAATCCAGAGGGGGGACACAAACGCTTCAAACGGACAGAGGTGACACTGCGACGGGAATCACTCAGAATCAGAGACAAAACAACTGCTTAATTAAATGCCGCATGCTGGACAGACACAACCGGGTAGTGGACGTTGGGTCTCACAATGCCCTGGAATGAAAAATAAAACTGCATCAGACACACAACAGTCATTCCCAGCACCCCATGCCATGAGCATGCACCAAACAAGAGAACAAGACCGGGGAGTGACGGTGGTCATGGATAATCAAACTGTGCTCAGCTATGCTCTTTCATGAACTTATCACTGGTCCTCAATTAATGAAAATGCTACAGAATGTCAAGGAAAAGTAGAAGAACTACAAAGAAATCCAACTCAAAAGAATTGACAACTGAGAATCTCCCAATGGGGAACTGAGAAGGAAAAAAAAAACACGTTCAGCACTCCTAGGTTAGTGCAAGGTGCAAGTATACACTCCTAATTTAGTATGAATTCATTTTTTAATACTATGGCATTTGATATGCAGATTAACAAACCAAAGCAACCAGTTCACTAATGCCTACACTGAGATTCGAAGCACAAGAATACAGGGCTGTCCACAAAGAGATGGTTTAAAAGTTGTAATTACAAACAGATGGTCTTATGACCCAGCCAATGAAGTGGCTATGGGGAAAATCAAGCCAGAAGCACCATGTTACACACGTGCTACATACATGTAGCATGCAGTGGACATTTCAGTGGACATTTCGTTTAGAATCATCCACACTTTCCTGCTTCCTGGGTATTTTTGTGGCCTTTGCTCCCTCTGTTTTGTTCTAACTTTGAGACAGAGACAGTGGTTGGACACAAAAGGGTAGAGCCTCCTTATTCCTCTCCCCATCCAATCTTACCTCCTCTACCTCCGCCATTGTAGAACTGCTGATGGTTAGACATCAACACTTTTCGGGGGGAAGGAAGTAAAGCATATCCGCAGTTAGAACCATTCTCTCTCTCTCTTTCTGAGAACAAAATAATGATGCAGTGCAGCTCAGTCAAAAAGACCCACTCACGCCTACCTAGGTATTTATTTACCCATTCAATTTTTCAGGGAAAAGTCTGGCTTAAAAAAATAAAGCGTTTGCTGTGGTGGAGTGCTGCAGGAGGTGCTTTTACACAGTGATTACAAGAACCTTTTCCTCACATCACTGCCTAATCAAACCACTTGTTAGGAGAATAGCCGTGGGTCTTTGCATTGACTGAAGGTTAAGTCACTTTGGAAATTCATTGTTTTTCTGTTCTGACATTTTGGCACAAATCTTATATCTCTATTTTAAGTCCTCCCTAGACTCCCAGTGTGAAAGTCATGCTGTTTATTGAATGAGGTTATTAGGCTGTCTTTTTATCTGCTTCCCAAGTCTCCTCGATTTTTCCACCCCATGCGTCAATGTAACAAATGTACAAAATGCTGCGCCACTGAAACAGAAAAAAACCCTTTCTTTCAATTTTCAAAGTAGCTAATGCTTGTAATCTTTATTTTCCGAGCAAGGGCTTAAACCAAAAGAGCCAATTACTTACTGTACTTTGGATAAAGGGTACAAAAGTTACTAAATTGAAAAATGTTTGTGCCTGAGGGTAAGACTTGATCGCACCCACACGGCTTAGCCTGAAAAAGAGTTTCCTGGAAATGGGTTAGAATCATTTTCAGCACATGAACGCTGAATATAACCAGAAGGTTTGCACAGCCTTGCTGAACAATGTTGTTTGGTTACCAACACTCGGTTGCACAGTCTGTTTGTTTTAAAGCTCTCAGATTTAAAAGCTGAGGAAATGAGCTCTCATTTTATGGCCCTGTACAGTACAGTGCATTTACAAGCTTTTGCTGTCACGTAAACTAAGACTTAAGATGCCTTTTCCTGGAGAAAACTGTACGCTAGCCAATTAAAATGCAATTACAGGAGCTAACAAACTGCTGCTTCTTTGCTTCCCCAAAGAGTCATCTGAAATTTTAATACTAGAACGACTGTATGCAATTCTATAAATCCACAGCATGCTTAACCACGCAAAAACAAAACCATGAAATACCGGTGTGATGTCACATCAATCTTACTAAACACTACCTCATTCCAGTAGACTTCATATACGCTATACAGAACACACCAATGTCATTCAAGTTGGATGTGGATTTTGTATACATGTGCTTTACCACAATGCTAAATGAAACAAATTCAACACTCTAGTATAAACGCTAATCAGTCCATTTAGCCTGAATTCATGTATACCTGTAGTAATGTGCAGCAAACTATGAGGAAAGATAAATTATATTAGACTTGCGCTTTTGTATGTGCAAAGACTCAAAAAGGACAATGAAATTAGGCTAAAATCTCCCAACTTAAACAAAGAAAAGTGATAAACATCTACATGTGTTTTACATGCTCTTAGAATATGTCATCTTTGTTGTTAGTTGGCAATCGCACTACCACCACAGAGGTAAGCACAGGGATCGGGATTTCATGTCACAGAAAGCACCTTCCCAAAACTACCAAAGTCACTTTTTGAAACAAGGATTAATCATTTAATTAATCAGTCTAAGCCTTTCAAGGACGGACAAAGTACTTAACTCTGCCTGAAATAATAACATGGCAAATACATAATATAGTACATTCCATCTGATGTCTTAGTCTGCGTACTGAAATCTGACCCTTAAAATAAAAGAGGAAAGGCTTTAAATGTGTCAAAAAACAAGTACTCCAAAAAGAATGGGTTAAATACACATTCTGCTATAAAGAGTATTATTTTGAAAAAAAATGAATCAAATTAGGTTTTCTAATGGAGGCAAGGGATGTGTTAGAACGGTCTGTCAGATATAGGCTTGCTGGATGACCGGCGGCATGCACTGAAGGACAAATTACCTGAGGTGGGGGATTTGCAGCGGTCCTCCGACGTGGCCGAGCCCTCGTTGATGTCACACAGCCCTATGCAGGCAGAAACACAGTTTTAATATGGGTTTAGAGGTAACCTTTAGATGTGGCATGCTGATGTAGTCTCCTCTCATGGTAAATAATAATTGTAGCTAAAAAGTAATAAAAGTGTCTCACCAATTAGCATTGCAACAAAATTTTCACACACATGTCTAATTATAATAACTTAAAAACATGATGTGGTTTCAGGCAAGAGTTTGATGATTTAGCCATGTAGTTTGAACAACGCTAATTGGTTGAGCATTGGCTTCCATTACTTATTAACTAAATTAGCCTCAATGCTCCAGTGCAAAACTAAAGACGCAGGGGCATTAACTGGGTATGTAAAGATTCAGGGCTCAGGCCAGTTCTTCGTAGAATTATTTTGGGATACCAGAATTTTTTATTTAAGCTGTAAAATGTGCAGTTGCTATTTTTTTGTTTATGATATAAAAAGGATTTACACATTTACGACACATGCAGGGACAGATTTGGCAGGAGTTTTCCAGACCACGTCATATGTCTTAATGTATTAACGTCACATGTGTAGGCACAAAAAGAAGGTCTGGCTCAATATTTCAGATGCAAAATCAACATTATACTGATGATGGTGACAATAATAACAGATAATTCACTCCCATCTTCAGAAGACAAACCCTTCACCAAGTTTTTACTGAGGTTCTCTTCAAATACTTTTTCAATGCACCTGCAAAAGTCAGATTCATCTGCTTGTGTGAGTTTGAAGTACAACCGTCATTACAAAATGTTCTTCCATACATTGTATGCAACTATATACTTTCACCAGGGAGGTCACCAAATCCCCAAAATGTGCATGATATTGCTTTGCTGCTATATATGCATGTTTTTTTTTTATATTTAAACAACAAAAAAATTGTACAATTCAAAAACCTTATGGATGACTGCAATAGACACCACTGTCTGCAATAGTCTCCACTGAAAGTATTGAAGCAGCAAGGCCAGTTCTTTTGTTTTTTGCTAGAATCTGAAGACATTTGGGTTCAATATCAAAAGATGAATATGAAAAGATAGATCAGAATTTCAGCTTTTATTTCCAGTTATTTACACCTAGATATGTTAAACAACTTAGAACATGGCACATTTTGTTTGAACCCACCCATTTTTCAAATGAGCAAAAATTTTTAACCAAGTGACTGACCAAGTGCCCAGGTGTGCCCTGTTAAATTGACTGTTTAAACAATTAATAGCTCTGGATGTCTAGCTCCTGGCTTTCACCTGCAAAGTCTGCATCTGTTGTTAAAAAGTATAAACTAACAACCAACCAAAGAGCTGTCAATGGCAGAAAAGCAAGCCATTCTGAAGCTGAGAACTGAGGGCTGCACAAGCACTTTGCATGACCAATACAACCATCTGGAAGGTCCTTAAAAAGATATAAACCCCGGGTGTATCAAAAACCAGTCATCAAATAGGTTGGTTGGCCAAGGAAAACAACAACAGTTGATGATGGAAACATTGTGAGAGGTGTGAAAAAACCCAAAACAACAGTCAGTGACATCACCAACAACCTCCACAGAACAGGGGTGAAGGTATCACAATCCACCATTTGAAGAAGACTTTGAGAGCAAAAATATAGAAGACATACCACAAGAGGCAAACCACTCATCAGCAGCAGGAATTGGAAGGCCAGACTGGAATTCAAAGAGATGAGTCACAAAAGTTCTGGAACAGTTTTATGGACTGATGAGATCAAGATTAACCTCTACAAAAGTGATGGAAAGGCCAAAGTGTGGAGAAATTATCTGCTTATTATTCAAAATATATGAACTCACAACACTACGAGGAACATCATGCAGCAAGATAATGGCCCAAAACACACTGCCAACAAAACAACAGGACTTCATCAGGGGAAAAAAGTGGTTTTGGACTGGCCAGGTGAATCACCAGACCTTACCCCAATTAAGAATGCATTTTACCTCCTGAAGTGGAGACTGAAGGGAAAACCCCCCCAAAGCAAACAACAACTGGAAGAAGCTTCAGTAAAAGCCCAGAAAATCATCACAAAAGAAGAATGCCACTGGCTTGATGAAGTTATTGCAAGCAACAATACCAACATCACCAACAACCAAATGTTAAGTGTTATTTACTTTCATTTACTTTAAGACTGTTCACATACTTTTGTTCACCAAAGGTACCATGTTTAAAGTTTTCAACACATTTAGATGAAAATATCAGGATATTAAAGTTCTGAAATTGTGACCTATTTTCTCATATTCATCTTTTTATTTCAAACCCAACTGTCTTCACCGTGTAGCCAAACAAGAAAATTAGCCTTGCTGTTCCTATACTTCCAGAGGAGATTGTGCCATGTTATGTTTTGACATCTGTTTTAGTGTACTATCTAGCCGTGGCAGGGGTACTCAACTGCAGTCTAAGTTTTGATGAAATTAAATATTTCATCAGCACCTAACATTTCCGAAGAAAAATTAAGGAGTTCCACTTTTTCGTTTTTTTTCAGATTTTAGTTTTAACCTATTAGATGCTGAAACAAGTCTATAGACTTTACAAGTTTGTGGAGTGAAGGCTACTTTCAAATTCAACAAAGCAAACACTACTTGTTAAAGAAGTTAGTAGTAAGTAGTGTTACTTGAAAAAATCATAATGTAGGCTATAGAAATCTAAAAACGAGATGCATCACGATGCATCGTGAATCGCTTTTATAATCACATCTTGGTACCCTGAATCAAAATCAAATTAACTGTGATGTGCCTAGAGATTCCCACTCTTAATTTCTATTAAGAAGAAAACTGGGTAAATCTGATTTTCGTACCGCTTTACAATAGGCCTACTCCTATAAACGCTTTATGAATGGTTTAAAATTAATTTAGTAATTTTGTAATGTTCAGAAACTTTAAAGTTTAACTTTAAAGAGCCTTAAATTTCATTCTTTAGCATTTAAAAAACATAAGTGAAAAGGGTAACAGTGACCTGTTGTATCTGATGAATATGAGTATCTAAAAAAGCTGATAGGTCTAATGCTGACTGATGGAGAAGGCAACGTAAGTAACCAGCAACATTTGTGATTTAACAATATAGATGAACGTGGGCTCATTATTTGGCAAGCATCAGGTTAGTGTTGCATTTTTTATTTGTGTTATAACTAATAATAAAAAGGGTAGTCTTATTGCAAAGTGGTAACCTGATGTCTCACCTTCCTATTCAAGCAACTATGTATAGCAAATTATTATGTATCACCCACTGCGCTGCAACATTAGTGTTCTTTTATGCTGACGTTTGACAATATAGCATGGCTGATTTGAGACCCTCTCGATATCACAAGAAGTACTTGAGTGCCTACAATTTGCAATGCCTACAATTTAAATTTCCATATTTGTGATGATCCATATGTTCACATGATTTTGACCCATTACAGCTGGTCTAAATGTAAGCACTTGCAAGCTATTGCGGATGCGGAACAATTTGAACTGTGAGCTCTCATGACTGATGGCCAGGCTGAAGTAGCAGAGCTTTGCTCTTTGTGTTAAGAGGCAGGCGAGCAGACAGGAGCTAAACCCAGCTGCTCTAATCAGCACTCTGTGCGACTCTAGCCCACTGCTAAACATCACTCATTAACCCCAGCACACACATACACACACACTCTTGAGCCGAATAATCCAACTGGCAATCTGTCAGTGAGTCACAGCAGTCGGAGTTTCATTACAAGGCAGCATGCGTTCAGGGCTCAGTGGCTGCAGTTCTGCCTTCCACCAGCAGAGGTCACAATGCAGCATCAATGGCACTACACAGTACTGCAGAGTGCTGCAGCTGTCTTTTTTACTGTGCTGTATGACTATACCTTAAAACAGTAATTCCAAACCCTGGTCCCACAGCACCCCTGACCCGAATAGTTCAGCATTTTCCCTGCTCATACACATTCGCTTTAACTCAGTAAAGGCTTGTGGTAACACTTTACTAAAGGACAGCATTCCTAAGGTTATATGACACCTATATAAGCCTTTCATGACAACTGAAAACCTACATAAACTTTTATAAAGGCTTATTCCAATAAGTGTCAGTTGTCAACTGCTTTGGATGTTCTGATGTCATTTCACCTCAGTCAGTTATAACAACTCGCGTTTACTGGAATAAGCTTATATGAAGATCTCCGTAGGTATATGTTAGTTGTCATAAAGCGATAAAAGGTATTATATTTGCTGCAGTCTCCCAGCCATGAATGTAAATCTCACAAGGTTTCACTATCTGAAAATAAAGTTTGTTTCACCCTCCTCAAACCATTGCATTTATTTTAGTCTATTTAACCATCTCTGCTTCTATTACCATTCAGCAAAGAGTTACAATAAACATCAGTTAGATGCTGCTTGTTGCTCTGGATTAAGAAAAATATAGGTCTATATCTAGTTACATTATTCCCACAGCCTAAAGCACAGCATGGTTATTCATCCTACCATGATAACACAAAATATTGTTTGTTCTAAATGTTTCAGGGTTCCATTCGGTTTCAGTCAACACGTCTGCAGAGAGGTGATTAAACAGCAAAGCAGTTTGAGTGTAATTTTATTTTAAAAAAGAAATTGCTGATTTTTTAGAACTCATGAGTTTCCATAGTCCTGTGAATTATCTGCACATACTATCTCATGAAAGAGCTGAATTGCAACGAAGAACAGGAGATGCTTAGTGATAAAAATACATATATATGTATTAGTTGGCTAAATGAGCCTTCTCTAACTGAAATCTCACCTTGTATGACCCTCCTCTAAATATTTTTCCTATGCAAAGCCTTTCAGTCAAGCTTGTGGGCAAATCTGAGCATCAATAACAATTACAAGCTGTCTTCAGACACTGAGCTTCTGAGATAATCTTTATGAGCTTCAGTTTTGAAACCACATCTGAAGAAGCAGGAGTGAGAGGGTGAGTTAAAAAGAGATTGAGTGCTGTGGCAACAACATCAAGAACACTGAGAAGAAGGGAGTGATGGTCAGCATTGAATCTGGTTGACCCTGCCCCTTTAATATCCGGCATTAGTGCATTATGTAATGGCATGGTTAGTCTGCTGTATCCTGATCTGCCAATGAGCAAGCATAAGCAATAAGGCATTGTGGATTTTTGGGACTTATTTTGGGACTTATTTGGGACTCACTTATTCCTCTAAATTAGGTGCCTGAGATCTCCAACGAATGCAGTATTTTTTGGGTGGGTTTGGAGTGGTGGTATTCTAAAAGTTCTCATCTGTTTCTGCTAGTGCTTCCCCTGAAAACACTTACAGCCTCTGCACAGTCATAAACGTCCTTTACCTTTGGTGTGGCTTGGAAGACACAATTTAAAATCAGGTGTAAATTAAGGGCAGCATAGTCAGAAATTAGTTTTTGCACACCACTGTAAGCTGCAATTGTGTTTGGACATCATCCTCTTGATTATGACATTTATTGATCGAAATCCTCTTGTTTTCCATCTGTTGAATTACAACCCCTTCTGGGCCAGAGGCACTTTAGTCGTTGACATTATGGAGGAACAGAGAAAATGTTATGTATTTTTATTTCCTTTGGTTGTTCATGTTCATCCATCTCCATGGTAACAAATCAGAAAATCTGGCTCAGTTGATCTTGTTTTGACATGTTCTGCGTTGTGTCCATGATAACCGAAAAAAAAAAAATCCAAGAGCCTTAATTTATGCTTCAATATCACGTTTAGGGTTTTCTCAACAATAACTGAATCCATACATTTTCAATTGTGGTAATCAGGTAGCTAATTAAAAATTACTGCTTGTCATCTCACCCATGCGCCCAAAATCACCAAACTGCAAACGTGGCTTGTGGTAGATGCAAACTACCACTATGTCTTTGATGAAAAACAAAAATTCTCACTTGACAAACACCTGAATTTGTTTGCAAATTGTTTTGATGCTCAGGATAAGTGGATCAAATAGATAAATTTGAGAGATTCAACTGACGTGCCAGTTGGTGCTGTCACGATATTGTTTCACTAGCTGTCTTCCTCTGGTGTTTTAAACAGAAAGTGTCTTTGGCAATTCAGCATCAGCAATAAGTTCCATTGAGGCATTTTCTCTTTCTTACTGTCACTGCTAAAATTGAACAGTCAATCAGTCAGACACAGGAAACATCAAGTAATCAGTGCACCTGCCTGCCGACTTCATTACATCACATTCTGTGATGCCACACACAGTTGTTTGAGCCCTGCTGCAACATGGATATATATCACAGGCATATTTATATCTTTCACTTTTGTGTAGAAAATTCAGACATGACTATGATAAAACCACTTACATATTTATATTCTATAACTTTGGCTGGGCTCTTGGTTTGTGGCCCCTCTAGTCTCACCAGTGATTATGGGGGTGAAGCAGGTGTCTCACCTCCAGAAGGTTGTCTGCTCTTGCGAGGTGACCGGGGTTGCCTCTGATATGGGTCATTGGATCCATACAACTCCATGGTGCTCAGATTCAAAAGAACGGTCTTCTGGAGATAATCTACCACTGCCAGGCCATTAGTATTGCCAAACACCACCCTATACCGCAAAAGACACAGAAAGACACAACGTAATGGAACACAGAATGAAAGAGGTCATTTACTGAATGTAGAAAGATAAGTGAAAAAAAGCTATGCTAAAACTAATTGCCACAACATTTCCATTTTAAAAGAGATTATAAAAGCATTACGAACATGCACATTCTGAAAGCAAAGTATTAAAATAAGAAGTACTGCAAGCATGCCAATTATAGAAACAGTTAGAATGTTTAATGCATAGCCATTGTTTAAATAACCTTTGATGTGTTTCCATTGTATTCCTAGCCCTGTACTACATACAGGTATGTTATGTAACAGTAAGCATTATATAGTCTACTCTTGCCTGGGGGGCTCTGGAGTGCAACAGTCAGAAATTTACATAAAAAGCAAAATGCCTGCGCAAAATGAATACTACTCATGCTGGTAATAAATAGACAGACCTCAACTTCAAAATAGGTCAGATGTCAAGAAAATGTACAAGCCATGAGAAACAGATATGATGTTCCAGATCAGTAATTTCAAAAAGGCTCAGCACAAGTCTATTTCTGGAACAGACTAATGGAAAGAGTGCAGGCAGATTTATGAGAAGGAGTATCTGTATGGAAAAGACAGTTCAAGCTTATGCAAGATGAAGTGCAAGGATGCATAAAAGACTCACAGGCCATACGAAGAGTTGATGGCGAGGCTGCTGATCTGCTGGGGAGGCTCTCCGCTGACCCACACCAACTGCACCACCAATTCCACCTGATAACCTGGAGACTGCTTCAGGGGACTATTGCGTACCCTGAGAGAGAAAGAGAAAAAAGGAGGGACAGAGACAGAGAGAGAGAGAGAGAGAGAGACACAAAACTAGTCATTAACCTTCAGGGGGGTGGTCAATGCCACAAGACATTAGAGAAGCTGATTAGTTGATTATAACTGATATATGTATGCCTCATTCCAAAATGTGCTCTTTTTTTCATTGAGAGGTTGGACAAGCTTTGAAGAATGCTGGCAAAATCCTATTCAATCTAATAAACTGCAGCAGACAACTTAGCTGTTTCTGTTAAAACATCTAAATTTAAAGTGTATAAATTCAAATGCTATTTATTTTGTACGCACATAAAAAGGTCACACTGTTAAGACAGATCGAGTGTAGTATTTTGGTTGTGTAATCGAGATAATGCCAGCATGGTGGCAAATTCATAGTGGCTAATGTCGCTGTCGCTTCCAGTCTGCCCAATTTCAATTAAACTCAAAATTATGTAGTTTAAAAAAAGACTAAAGTGATTTAACGTGAACACTTCCCATTCTAGCAAAATCATCTCATTAGACCAAATGTGCTTTCTGACATTCTGTAAAGCTTCTGTCCAACTTCGCAACAGTAGCTGCAGTAGAACAACTTTAGGCAGAGCATCAACAGGTCAACTGAATGTAATGAAAGATATAGTCAAAACAAACATAGCTAGAGATGGGGAATCAGAGAGAGTATTTTGACCAAGAGACAAAATAAAAAAGATACATTAGCCTACTTCAGACAGGGAACGTTATCTCTTATGCCATCTGATGAGTTGCTGCTGGTGGAGTGGTGCGTCTGGGGGCCGGAGGTCTGTGGGCTAGGGGAGGTGCTCGGAGTGGGAGGAGCTGGCGTCTGGTACCCACCCCCTTCTGGTGACTCTAGGTCATTCAGCTCATACTGCAATCTGACTTCCAGTAACTGAGAACACACACATATACAACATAGCTCATACATTTATATACAGTGTTTCCCACACATACTCCATATTTTGGTGCCCTCACCTCAATTATACTGACAGTTAGCCAAGTTCATTTAGTCCAATTTTAACAATCTACAAAATATTTAATACTGAACATAATTTTAGATATTTTGTACTTTTATTTCAAATCATACACAAATTATTGGAATACTCACTTAAGAGTTGCGCTTGGCTTTTCATATATCAATATATATATATATATATATAAAATTTTGCCAAATGATCATTTTCAGTACCAAAACGGGATTAAAATTTTATGTCTGATAGATACTGACTGTCTGAAGAACAGTGGTCTGCCTTCAGCTGTGAGCGATATTTGAGTTTGCACCATCTTAGTTAGGTGATTTGTTTCACTTGCCTGTGTGTTTTCAGGTTTTAAAAAAGGTTACACAAACAAATCAGTTAAACAAATAAAAATTTGCATGGGCAAAATTGAATAAGTTAAGCGATTCCCACCAGTGTCACTATCCATAAATTAGGGCACACTAATTGGTGTGTGTGCACACATGTGAGGCAGGGGGACTCGAGGTGGTAATGGGCTCAATTTGCTCCAATTAAGCTGTGCTGAGAACATTCAACAGCTGACGGCACTCACCCTAATCATCGCTCTTACATCTGTACTGAGCATGTTGCTCAAGCTGAGCCAATCAGACAATGAGCTTGTGTCATTTCTGCTGTCCTACAAAAATTGCATCTGAAGCATGCTTTTATCTTTTAATGGTTACACTGTTAAAGCCTTACTACCGTATGCTTTGTAAATTGTACAAGGCAAACACTATATGTTGTCTAACCATCTCAAACTCCTTGACCTAACTGGTGAAAAATTGTATTTGTCATTGCCTTAAAAACACCAAATCTAATTCTAATCAGCACAGAATTAATTTGCAATATGCAATAAGCAATTGTTTTTGGCCTTCTGAATTGTCTGTGGTTCCTGTATGTTTCACTGAACACAGAAGCCAGCAAAAGCTAGTATGCTTTAACCTCAGAGTCAGTGTGCAAATGTTGACCAATAACCAACTATCATTAGTGGTCGATTAATTGTTATCCATAACTTCTAAAATACAGGAGGCAACCCATCAGAATCTAAATTGTAAAACAGAAATGTAAGGATCTAAAAGCTGACACACTACATTTGAAGCTTTCGCGAAATGCTTGATATAACTGAATTACATAACCGAAGATTATTAAAAAGTGCTCCTTGTATGGAATGTGGAACGCTGAACTCATTAGTAGGGCCAAGTCTAAGCATGTATATTCAGCAATCATCCTGAAACCATATTAAACATACCCTACATAAGAACCTGGTTTTGTTTAAACTGAGGAATGATAGGCTACTGAAAATTCTAGCTTTGGTTCAATGTACCTCATTGTCTCTCAAAAGTCATCACCACCCATCATGTCCTTCTCTATAATTTTGCTCACCCATGTGATTTATTCACATTTTCTCTCGGAGCACAAAACAGTTGTCCGTCTTATCGCTTGCGTATGTTAGCTTTCAATACAGTTCCTCACTGTAGAAGTGCTATTGTCCTCTACAAAAGTGGTTACGAACACCATTTTTTTTAGCAGCACGCTTTATTTTTTTAGTAAGTCTAACTAGAGAAACCAACTGCCTATTGTGCATCATACAAATAATTAAAAAAAACTTGAATGATAAAGCTGCCTAGCCAAATAGGAACTGTTGTTTAATGGCAATTAAATAAAATTAAATTCACTTTTTTTAACTGATAGCACTGGTCGAACAATTGTTTATTCATTAGTTAACAGTTAATCACTTACATTCCTACCTCACAGTAATTATTTAACTTAAAATCCAGTGTTCTAGAGTACAGAGCCTATAAAAGTAAATAATGTGTCACTGTCCAATTAATTACAGACTGCACTACACATGCACAGATAACCTACAATGCTCATAGTATGAGCTAATTAGTTTGACCAGCGGCGTCAGAGCAGGGAAACATCAAAATATGCAAGACAGGGCTTTAGGAATCACTGCCTTACACGTGTCTTTGTTTAAAATGTAGGACTTTCTGATACAATAAAAAAATTAAGCAAATACAAATTACTTATTGTTCTTCTTCTTCTTCTTATTATTATTATTATTATTAATAATAATAATAATAATAATAATCATTCTAGGTACACTTTGAAAGTTTTTGCAGATTTGGAGATTTCTCTAATGGAAATGTGCAATTGCACGCAACATGCTGAAGAACATTTTGTAACACTGGTTGTGCTTTAGACTCCTTTCCCGAGCAGATGGATCTGATGATTGCGAGTGCGTTGAAAGAGTATTCAAAGAGAACTTGGTCAAAACTTGGTGACTTGGTGGTCATCCGAGGACGTAACTATGATTGCTGTTATCTTCATCAGTATAAAGTTGATTTTGCATTTGAGACCCAAACATGGAGTTGGAACTGTTCTTTTTAAGCTTGTGCAGGTGATGTTACTATGTAAAGATGTAAGATATGGTAAAAAAAAAAAAACTCACGACACAATATCTCTTGACTTTTAAATTACTATTTCAGGCTTTACAAAGTGACTCTGCAGAGCAGGGACACAAAATTTTTTTCCTTACTTCTAATTAAAAAAATCTTACATATTGCAGTTTTAAGTCTGTCAAAAAGATTGTTGAATGAAGTCAATGTAATATCAAGATACTTGGGAAAAAGAACACAGATCAGAGGTAATGCTTTCCTCTCTCAATAGCACACACACAGACACACACACACAGACACACACACACACACACACACACACACACACACACACACACACACACACACTCACACTATTTCAATGAAGACCAGAGGAGCATATTTTCATCATCATCATCATCAGCGTGACTCACGGTTGTTGTCAAGAGGCTAAAATAACTCGTCTCTCAGAGACGGAGAGAGAGGGAAAGGAATGGACAGAGAGAGGAGGGTAGGAGTGGGAGTGGAAGAGAGAGCAAGTCAGAGACAGAGAGGGAGAAAGATGGCACTTATTCCACTTCAGAAAGCATAAACTAAAGTTTTTAGGTCAAAAGGAGAGAAACATAATAAACCAGAAGATGGGCACACTCTTATAAAAACAAATCCAGTCACGCATATACAAAATCGCAAACCTGATGCATTATGACTGCAACACCCACACTATATACACACATGCATATATGCATACACTATAGTACACAAATACACATAATTATTAGTGATTCCTTGGAAGACCCACACACAGCAATGCATGGCCAGTCTTACCTGTACAACCTCGGTGGCGATTTCCTGCTTGCTGAATCTGTAGATGATGACGTGGGCGGACACTCCCGCCACACACAACATGCGGCTGTCTGGGCACCATGACATGAGCTGGATGGCAAATGGATCCTCATCCACAATCTCTGTATTTGGCTTCTCCTCCTTACTGCGCGTCTTCTCAAACACCTTGGCCGTCTTCAGTTTGTACAGCACCTGGAGCATTACTATGCATAATGGGAAATTGAATTCAATATATAATTATTTACTGTCAAGAAAATTAATTTATTTTGTTATGGGAACAATACTAAGCATGATATTTTTGTGCATGATTTTATTCTCTAAAACCTTTGTGTACCACACCAGAACCCAGAATGACAGAATAAATCTGTATTTGCTCCGTATTTGATTAAGGTCTGATATTAGTTCACAATTTATTTGCAATTGCTCAGGCACAACTAATAAAAAGCTTAAAGATTAATGGAGCTATTTTGTCTTAGACGGATTACTGCCTTTTGCCTAATTAGTTTTCGCATTTGTGTACATTTGTAGAGTAAGTCTCTTTTAAATAAATCCTCTCCACTATAGAAAGACTCTTAGAGGGTAACCTTGGCAGAACTAACATGACTATAAGGTCATTAACAATCTTCCTTTCTGAGCTTAAAGCAAAAAAACAAAAAAAGAACACGGTGAGCGCAGTACAGTTGTGGGAGTTTATCATGATTATGGCTATAATGGGGCTAAATGACATTTACGGGTCACTCCTATGCCAGACTATTTCCCTAAGTAAGGACCAAGGTTAGACAGAAGTATTCTGGGAATTGAAGTCAAATGGATAGAGGACATACATGGCACTACCAGGGCAGTCCCCAGGTGGGTCTTTAATCATAGCTAAGTACATTAGCCTACAGTGAAGGCTGGCTGCCAGAATAATGTCCCCCTTCAGACTTGAGAAAAAGATGCATTCTCGGAACATACACAACGTAATGCACTGTAAGTTAGTTCTTATACGTGAGAGAAGGTGTGGAAAAGTCAAAAGCGGCTGTTTTTTTTCCAAGAAAGGATAAGATGATAAGCTTTTCAACATTGTTAAAACACTGAATTCGGCATCACACTTAGTTGTTAAGTCTTGGCACATATGTTAATGAATTTAATAAATCCATGGAGGATGAAAACTCACTTGCAGAGGCATCCCAAAACTTTACCGAACCATCAGCATGCCTACGACAAAAATAGAGAACCTTGTGTTTATAATAGATAACTGTTCAAGTGTTAAAGATTTTCTTGATCATTAATCAGAGAGATGTAAATGTCCCTGCATTTACAGATTATGGGAGCTAAATAAAAGTTACATAAAAAGCTCTACATTTAAATAAATGAAAAGTCAAATATGGAAGGTTGCCTGTGCATCAATGTGTACAAATTTTGAGCTCAGATAAAACTGGGGTAGAACTGCTGAGAGCAAAAGTGGCAGAGCACTGACCCCATCACTGCTCAACTCACTGAAACACTGCAGCGATGCATTCTGGGAGAACAGGCTGCTGCCTTCCCATGGGCAGTGAATCAGAAATGCTTACTACTCCTTCTTTTTCTGTCTTTTTCCTCAATTTCCCCTCGCTCCATCATCTCCTCTTTTACTCTCTGTAGGATTGTTTCCTCTCATTTCAGAATATCACTCGGCAACTTTTTCTCTCCACTTTCCATTTAGCCCTCCCTGATGCAATTTCAGCAAAATGGCAATGAAAAAGGAGCAGAGAAAGCAGAGAATGAAGGAAACACAAGGAGAAATCTCTCTCTCTCTCTCTCTCACACACACACACACACACATACACAAACTTACCCAGTAATTATTATTTCAGGGTAGCTTTGTGTGCCCTGGCCCCAGTTTCCACCACTAATAGGCCATTCCTACAATGAACAAAACCAAAAACCAAAAGTAAGTGTACTCCATTATATTTTAGTGCTCTATTTCTGTCTGCCATCGGTGTGTTTAAGGGAAGGGAACAAAGCGACTGATTTACTGCGCTGTTGGAGACTGCTCACACTGTTCACAGTAGGGATGGCACCAAAAATGTTCAGCCTAAAATGGTCAAAAATGTTGACAGAAAAAACCTCCAAAGTTTAAAATCAGATGCACACATGCATTTAAACGGTTTCAGCAGCAACAAATCAACAATGAAAATGTTGGCCATGTTCAACTATTTCATGGCTTCTACAAAGGACATTAGACAAATGTTACATAATCACTTTTCATTCTTAGTATCAAGAAGGGGTACAACGCTCTACAACTGATGCTGTAAGCATTTTCAGTTTTGCACTTTTGGTTTTTGGCCCAGTGTGTCCTGAATTTCAGTTTCTGTTCTAGCCAAGAACTTTTATTCTGGTTCATCAGTAGTTTACTCCTCTCACTTTCGAGCTTTAGCTTGAGAGGTGACAATGATCAGAAAACGAAAGGAGCGGCTCATAACAAACTTCAGTTCTTTTGCACACAGATGTTGGCTGTGTTTAAAAGCACCACTGCTACTCTATAGAGCACCCAGTGCTTGAGTTGTTTTTGAGCTGATAAATTTGTAAAAAGATACTCCTTTTACAACAAGTTTTTGCTAGGCCACTCCTACTTGAACCATTATTTCAATGAAGTAACAAGACTTTTAATGGAGTATAGGTTCAGGCTACTGCTACATATTGGGATACTGGAGATATGAGTATACACTGAAAAAATACACTGAAATTACTTGATTAAAATGCATAATGTCTGCGCAATGTATGTTTAACATAATTTTTAGTTTAATTACAATTGGCAATAACTCTAGTAATGTAAAACATCTCATAAATGTGGAAAGGATGTACATATCTGAATCAAGTAAATCCAATGCATTATTTTTATCTGTGTAAGCCAGGCTGACAGAGAGCTTGAGAGCTGAAACCAAAGCTCCACACTGAGGCACTGGGGCTTGCATTGTGCTTAAGCCATGATGCAGCTTCTCCATGGGGTGTGGGGGTCAATCTGCTCTCCCTGCTGGGACACGGATCACACCACAAAGAGTGAACTTTGCGGGCGGTCGAAAGGTCTCGGCTCCTTTCACACACATAAATGCTTCTACATGTTTGTCGGACTCACAGCATTTCAGGACAATGCACCTGCACAGCAGGGACTGAGACATACAAGCATGAGGCTGTATTCCCTATTCACACGCCTCTGTGCAAGGAGAGGGTATACTGTGTGTGACTGTGAGCAGAACTGTGTGAGTACATGTCTATTTGTGCATGAATGCACTCATGTTTGTGTGTTTGTTTTCACATGCTTGCAGGACAAATCTATCCTAACTTTATAGGAAAACCAGAAAAAAACGGGGCTTACATACAATATCAAGATATCAGGCTCAGCAAAGTGGTCCAGAGAAGCTAAACTGCTTTTGACAAAAACTAATACATTGTTTAAGATGAGGGTTAGGCTTAGAAAAATGATTCTTTTTGTAACTATATATATTTGGGAACACCAAAAAGTTAATAAATAATAAATAATGCACTGTAATTATTTATTTACAGTATTTCCTCAATAAGTTACCTGATCAACACAAATCTCAAATGCAAGGCATATGTATTTATGTAACTTTAGCATAACTTCATTCTCAATGTTTTACAGCCTTGTCAGTCATTAAGGAATCATCTACATCCCTGTTCACCATCCTGGACACATCTAACACTTCTTCATTTTAACAGCTTTCTACTAGTTAAAATGTGTGAGCATTATTACAGAATAGACTACAGTACAGCGAGAGGACACAAGACACTCACTTTTGATTCTGTTATTTAATATACTTCTACTTTAAACATATAATGTCTTTTGACTTTGTATTTATTAATAAGAACAAAAATGTATATATTCATAAATAAAAACAACAACAACAAAAAAGAATAGGGTAAAAAGTATTCAGACACCACAAATGAAAAACTTAATTACTTTGTTGCAAAGTTGCCTTTAGCAATTACAGCTTCAAAACATCTACGGTAAGAGGTAATTAGCTTTTTGCAGCAATGTAGTTCCATTTTGCCCTCTTCCTCTTGGCAAGCCATCTTCAATTCCCCAAGGTTATGAGAGTCCCTCTGACAGACTTCAAAACCCTCCATAATACATGTGCAACTATGAAGGGTATATATAGACTGGAAAAACATTAAATAACAAAAACAGAAGTGTCTGAACTACTTCTTTCCCTTTTTCCGACAAGGTACAAAAACAAATGTCTGTGGATGTGTGTACCTTTTTGCTGTAGCCCTGTCGTTTTTGGCGGGAGCCGACTGAGTAAAGTGCAGGTATGAGGTCCGCAGGACAGTCAGCGACGTACTCACAACACGTCACTGGAGACTCGTGAATTGTCAAGGGATACGGGTTCTCAAAGATAGGATAACTACGGAAACATTGCATCAAAGCCTGTATCAGAGCTTAGACTACCTTAGATTACAGAAATGAATCATAGCCATGGGCACTGCATGCATGTGTAATGGTTCAGTAGCCTAAGGACATTGTCTGGTCTGCCACTGCTACGGTATGATTAGATAACTAATATAATACTCAGTAATACTCAAAACAAGCACATACCCATTTTGTGCAAGGTCGATAACAACTAAATCCTTTTCTAGAAGGACCACTACAGCATAAGGTTCCTGAAAATCTGCATTGGAACACACAGAGAAAAAGAAAAAAGCAGTTAGGTAAAGAAAAGAAGGTAATAGTAATAATAAAAATGTTGGACAATCTAACATTTTTGTACTTATTATTATTTTAAAAAAAGGTTTTACAATGAACATACTTTTTACGTTTACCAATAACTGAAGTTTAAGTGAGACTAGCTACCAAGTTACTGCTTAGAAGTAATAATTCTCATTTTGTTATGTGGTCGATATATCTTTCATTATTATTTGCATATATGTACATATTTGCATACGTAGCTACATAAATACATACTGCAATTTGGTACTTCATGAAATACATTTGCACACATTTACATTCGATATGTATTCTGTGGCAATGTTTCTTTTCCATATAATTTTTGTGACAAACAGGGCAAAAATGTAAAGGCTGTTTTCTTTCCACAAAACGAGACAGCATGCAAAACAATAACTCTTCATTAAATTCAAGTCATTATAAAATGTCTCCTATTTACTTAAAGACTTTGAACATTTAGAAATTGAACTTTTCTTAACTTGTTTTACTGAGAATTAAACAACATGTAAGTAGAAGTGTTTCTAATAGTATTTGCCATAGAGGAACAAGGAATCGTATTAGCATTAACCGAAAAACCTAAAGTGCAAATCAACAGTCCTTATAGAACAAATGAGGAATTTTCCAGTACAGAGAAGGCCTTCAGCCTAAAACTTAGCTGCCTCTAACACCCGCGGCCCCTGCATGTGAAAAAAGAGAAAAAAAACAAAACAAAAAAAACAGTGCTATGTTTTCTCAGGTCCCCTGTAGAGAGTCCAAATCAAAGGCAGACAGTGGAGCTGCTATGCTGGGCCTGTTACACAACCAGTGCTAGCAACACCACCCTTGCCTCTCCCCTGTGAAACTACAAGAACTCAAAAAACACACAGCACTGCTTGGAGTTCTGCTCTTTATGATATACATTCAGAAGCAAGCCCAGAGAAGGAAGCTGAGCTCATGGCCTTAGAGAGGAACATAACCACTCAATCAAACCATGTATTTCTATTAAGGCCATATGGGTGCTCAGTGCTCAAACCTTTCAGCTGTTTAACCAGTTTAACCACTTAGCCCCTTTAACTCATTTAAATCTGTGACACTGGCCACAGTAAAATGTATCAATGTGTAGAACTGGAGTTTTCTATGCTCTACAAGTGTGTGATAGCGTTTTCAATCACTACTTAAAAGATTCACGAGGCTTCCTTTATTGATGGAGGCACTGTGAAGTTTATGAGTAAGTGCGCAAGATAATTTACAGTGCATTTCGAATCGGTAATAGCTTATTATTGATTCTTGATAATCAGAGGAATGATTTTAATGTGATGGGTGTGTGAAGTATATTCCCATTCATGCATTTTCTTTTTCTGATGCAAACATCACAAACATAAATGCAACACCATTGAAAAATCACAATATTAAAGGAGAAGAGCAGATTAAATGGCAGAAAGCATCTTTTTTGCATGGACCTTAAAGGGTTAAACAATCCTTGGGGCAGAAGACTTTGAACAACAATAGTTTGTTCTGTCAATTCATTATTCATGAGGCAAAACTAGGCATTTCATACCATGGAAAAAAGCTATTTTATGTTAAACAAAGCTTTTGCAGATACATTCACACTTAATTGAAAGTGAAAATCAAACATCACTCTGAACATTTCAAGGTGTCGCCAAAGTTTTGATAGGCAAGATATCTGACACGGCTGCTTGCAAAGACAAACATAGGGCCACCACTTTAGCAGACCTATAGACAGACAGTTTATCGGAGCAGTCTTCAGAGAAAAGCAGAACACAAAGTCTTATGATTCACGAATGGCCGCCAAAGGATTAATTGTTCAGAAGGGCAGAGCAAGTGTTCTAACACAATCAAAGGCCTGGATACTGCAAAAAGGAGGTTCAAAGAAGATGAAAAATTTAATTACAGTGAAACTGCCTTTCCCCAGAGAGAATGTGTGCCAAAAAACAAACAGACTATGGAAGAAAACACAAAGGTTCTAACGTCAGAAAGAAAAGAAGGGAACATAGAGCAATGTGGGCATTTTTTCTGAGATGATATCAGAACATACCATTAGGATATGGCGTTTCACAGAGTGTGAGAAAGTCTACAATGGGATAGTCCATCTCCAGCACCGCAGTGCTCTTCCCATGCATTACCGTCAAACATGGCCGCCGACCAACCGTGTCGTACGATAAACCACCAGATAGGATCATATACGGATCCCTGCGTGGACAGAAAAACACATATACACACACAGATAAGAGTGAACCGCAGGTAGCAAGCTCATGACAGCATGAATGCAGATCATGTGCCTGGATGTTTGAAAATATAAATAAAAAAAATACACTGTGTGGAAATCTGAGGAAAAATCGTTTTACCAAAAAATGCAGCAGTTATTTGATAGTGTAAAAAGGCAAAAAGACCCCTTTTTGGGTTAAGATTAAGGTTAGGCTAGGGCGTAGTATTATTGAAGAGCTGTAACTAACATTTATATCAAGCAGTCTGTTCATTTTTACCAAAAAAGGCAAAAACAATCAAAACAGACTCATGTGAACAACAATAAACTATGCATAACCCTTAAAAATGAAAAAAAAAAAACCTTTATTGTGCAGCCTTTCAAGCAGGGGTCTCAAACTGCCGTCCAAAGAAAGCTTAATTTTTTCATTTTTCTGTGGCCACATATTTACATCTGATTGGTAGATTTGCTTCTCCCACCAAACACTGCGGCTACATAAAATGACCTTAGGATGATGCCTAGGTTGTTAAAAGCAAAAAATAGAACACTGCATGCAAGAGAAATCCATCCATCCATCATCTAAACCGCTTATCCTTCTGGGTCGCGGTGGGGTGCTGGAGCCTATCCCAGCTGTCATTGGGCGGAAGGCAGGATACACCCTGGACAGGTCGCCAGTCCATCGCAGGGCAGACAGACAGACATACACATTCACACACACACTCACACCTAGGGGCAATTCAGCATGTCCAATCGGCCTGACTGCATGTCTTTGGACTGTGGGAGGAAACCGGAGTACCCGGAGGAAACCCACGCAGACTCGGGGAGAACATACAAACTCCACACAGAAATGACCCTGGTCACCCGGCCGGGAATGGAACCCAGGCCCTTCTTGCTGTGAGGAGATAGCGCTACCCACTGCGCCACCGTGCCACCCGCAAGAGGAATCATTCAAATAAAAACCTGACACAGCATGACTGCTGCATACCAAGTAGGCATAGTTGTAATGTAGCTATAATTAACTTATTATCTATTATTCTAATTTAGACTAATAGTTAGTTATATCTGCTTTTGTGTATTCATTCATGACATAGCAGGATATGCAGTGCGTCAGAAAATAAAGAAAATAAACGCTTTACCAACACTTCACTCACAAAAACTTTAATGATGTTCCACAGGAAAGCCATTGCTATCAAATTAAGAGTCCAATTTAGATGTTTACTTGATATAATTAAACACTAAAATATTTATTAAACACTATAGTTTTAGATATCTACTACTACTAATTCTACTACTACTACTACTAATAATTATTACTGTTACTATTAGTAGTAGTAATAGTAGCAGTAGTAGTTGTGCTTACAAAAGAATTGGTAATAAACATTGACTAACGTGCTAAAATGACTTTACACGTTATGAAATGCAAATACATACTTGAAAAAAAAAATGCATATAGCAAATCTTTTCCCATACATATTAGTTTAACATTAGGTGGGCCAACAGTAATTTGAGTTTGAGACCCCTGCTATAAAGCCTTTAAAAAGTCTTTAAAAAGAAATTGTTAAAAAAATAATTTATAAAAACACTATGTCGAATATTTCATAAAACCATACAACAGCTAACTCACTGCATATTTAGAGAGCAGATACATATTAGATTTTTTTGTTTAATCAAGTTTAATGAATATTTGTGATGGTTCTATATTATTCAACTACTCATCAAGTATTCAAGTATTCAAGTAAATAAATATGTGGAAATATCATAAAAACAGCAACACAAACATATGTTGTGCATTTTACCCTGCTCTCGTAGTCTTGTACTCTACTTTGAGAATGGGTTTGCATGGCTCTGGCTTCTTTCCATCCTTGGGCTGCTTTCCTGAAATAGAAGCAGAGCAGACACATTGAGCAGGTCTGCTCCAAATCCCCCATCTCTTGTCCCTCACCTCTCTTTTTCCCTCGCTCGCTCTCCTTTTACTTTCACGTTCGGCCTCAATATTACACTCGAACATTGTGACTCAGCAGCAAATGTGAACTTTAGTTTAGAAGCATGCGGAACATGGGCAAAAATGTCCTAAAATGAAGGACCCTGAAAACTGTGTTATATGTGGGCATGAAGAATTATTAATTATCGCTTCCCTGCCAAATTAAAACCATCAGGTAAAAAAGGTAACCTTAAAAGGAAGGTCATTACAGAGGAAGGCCATTAGAGACAGAATAAAAGGTCCAACAATAGGCTAAAGCAAAATTTTCTCAAAAATTGTCCTCTGATTTCAGTCACTTCACTCATGAAGTGTCAGAGCAACAGTGAATGTTTTGTTCCTCTTGCCTCACTCTCTCTCTCTCTCTCGCTCTGAGAACAGAAGGCAGGTAGAGGAAAACAGGACGTGAGGCTGTGGATTAAGTGAGGGCTCTAAAAGTGTATCTTCAATAGCACAGACAGAGGCTTTTCTCTATAGGGAAAAGCACCAGGTCCACCGGCTTCTCAACTACCCACCATAATACAACAAAAGAGGTCTCAAGGGACAAGCAAAACGAATGTGGAAAATTAAAACTCCACTTAAAATGAAAATGAGGGAGGGGGAGATTGATTAGTGTAAGCTGCTTTGCACGGGCAAAAAAAAAAATCACATTACAGAAGAAAATTGACAAGCCTTTTCAAGAGATGCATGATGTAACCTTTTGAAACAGAGATGATAGAGATTAGTTTTGTAATCCACAGACTGGAACATCAGCATTTTAACAATTTAGATTCTGTGTGCGTCTGGATATGTTTGACTGAGCGATGAAAAAAAGAATGAGAACATTTGTGTATTAATTCTGAAAACCTTATTTCCTGATTTACAAAAAACAGCTATTAAACAGGGAAATGCAATTACCAATAAAAAAAACAAATATGAAAATTGCTATAAAATTCATGATGTAGTTTAACACAGCATCGTTGCAGAGGATGAGTAATTCTGTGTGTGAGTGAGTGTGTGTGTGTCTCACCATGTGGGGTGATTGTCTGTGCAGGCTTGGCTGGGGACTTTATATTCCATATGGTCAGTGTGCCATCTGAGTGACTGCAGATGAACTGTTTCCCCTCGTGGTGCCAGGCCACAGAATGGATCGCCTGAAAAAGAGAGAGAGAGAGAGAGAGTGAGAGAGAGAGAGAGCGAGTTTGGAGAGGGGGAAAGAAGATCCATTATTGCCATTAGCTACAGAAGACACACTTCTGACGAATGTCATCTATCACTTACTTACAGCCAACCAGGGGGCTAATGCTTGTGGCTCTACTAACCAGAGGAAAAGCAATCTGTGCCCTAAAGAATCCTCAGTTCACCATGGCAGGGATGCACGATCAGAATCGGCCAAGACTGGACAGATTTTCACTCCAAACACTTAATCTGCAATCAGCCAATTTATTATTTATATTTTGACTGCTCTGTGAAGCAATTTTATGATGGAAAGATATGACCCAGGTAGGTGTACTCAGGCTGTATTGTGCTAAATAACCTGTTGCCTCTTACTTAAGATGTAGCACTTCATGAGATTAATTTATTTAAAGGAATGATTTGGCAATTTTCCACTTACCCAAGATGTAGCTGATCAGCCAAGACACATTTGGTACCTAAATCTGGCTTCTTTAGTTTAGCACTGGAGCTACAAGTCTTATGTTGAACTAACACTAAACAGTCACCCAAATCTTTTCTGTAAATACATTCTCAAAACTTTTCTCAACCCACTCAAACTGCACCCAGGTTGTCATTAAGATGCAGACTTGTCATGGTTTAGGACACAGCGTGACTTACTGTGAACTACATAACTGAACAAAACTTTTCTGCGTAGCCAAGCACTGTGAATTTTGGACAGGGGTGTTGTGCTGAATTCCCCACAGACATCTGAATGCTACATATTACATTTGAGATTTCTGTTGTTTTTTTTATAAATAACTATTAATCTTGAATTTCTCACTGAATATACATGTTTTAAAGGAAAGGGAGGGGAAGTCAGACTCTGTGAGAGATGCAGAATTAGGCACAATGCTGTGGTCTAAATTAGTAGACCACAACATTCACAGTAACTGTGTCCTAAACCACACTGACAAGTCTGCATAACCTTATTGAAGACCTGGATGCAGTTTGAGCAGGTAGAGAGAAGTTTTGTGGACGCATTTACAGAAACAATTTGGGTGACTTGGGGAAAACTGTGTAAATTAGACTTTTCGACAAAACATATGCGGGGAACTTAAAAATTTTAAATGCCAGGACCATTAAAGAGCAAATAACGTAATTTATATTTTTATACAGAAAGTTCGGAAATGTGCTTCCTGTGTTTCATGTGTTCATTTAGCCCATGCTAAGGGTAATTAAAATAGTCCAAAAAACTTAACTATCAATTAGTCTGATCGTCTAGAAATCAAAATTCGAATATTATTGGCCATTATGCATCCCTTTGCATGTTTAAAATAAAATTTCTGTACTGCTTGTTTATTTTGTAGGTTTTGTAACCCTTATCAAGTACCCATTCAATATTATTGGACATTTGGTAATACGTACACACACTAAGCACGGACCTTTTGTTTTTTTAAATGTCCTTAACAACCCCACTAATCTATTTTGAGTATGAGGAAATAGCTTTTCATCCAAAACATGCTCTCGGACAGGCATTCTAAAAAAGGAGGGCTGGGTGAGCTGCATTAAACGGATAGGTCAGGTCCTGCAGCAGGGAACGGAATGAGGTAGGTAGATCCAGAGGGTGTTGGAGGCAGAAAGCTGGAACTGGGGAAGATTACAAGCGCACTCTTTAAAGCGCTCTAATCGAAACCTCAACAGCGATGCAGTGAGAGTGTATCCCCTGAGAGAGAGCGTGAGAGAGACAGAAAGGGAATGAAAGAAGGCGAGAGAAGCCAGCACAAGAGAGAGGTGAAACGGAGTTCTCATTATTTTCTAATTAAGCGCAGTCTCCTCCTGCTTTAGCATAATCGTGCCGGCTCTGTCTCTATTTCTGGAGCTGGGAAGGCACTGGCTGCTCCAGCAGCCCAAACTAATCAATGAAACGGCTGCAACGGTACAGGACCGTTGGGGAGGCAGGATTGGCTTATTTCTGCCTTATCAACTCATATCAAACAATCAACCATCACACACAAACACACACATCAGCATTTATTACTGCCTGCAAATCTGATTATGAAGAACTAAGCTGCTTACATAATATTTGGTCCCCTGCGAGGAAGCTTGAGGGAGAGTGAACGGAACACACACCTGCACGCTTTGAGTTATGTGGTAGTGGGTGCTTATATTAACATGTCACAGGGGAGAGAGGCAGAGAGAACAAAGCACTTTTGAGGATGATAGACGCGCAAGCAATTACAAGGTGGAGAGCAGAGAGAGGCTGCAGAATGTCACCATCAGCATTCCTTTAGCACAAATCTTACCGATCACATAAACACTTTGTGTATTTGTGAAATAGCAGAAAAATCCCAGTCTCTGTGTCCAATAGAAATACTAACCCTTTAAATCCTACGGGTTAAGACATGGTTCACGCTTCAGTTCCTCGCTTTCATAACTTCATAAATTACATATTAGCTTCACAGTAGTTACCAAATATTTCATTACATTAGATTAATGACAAAATAATAAGAGTAGGGTCCAACTGGATACTACTACTACTACTACTAGTACTGCTACTAATACTAACAATACACACACACATATATTTTCTAGGCCACTTTTTCGGAGGGAGCTGGAGCCTATCCCAGCGGTCATTGGGTGGAAGGCAGGATTAACCCTGGACAGGTCGCCAGTCCATGGCAGAATACTAATAATAGTAAATTATTATTCAGCAATTTATTATTATTAGAGGGAAAGTGTTACAAGTGACAGCAGATGCAGACTGCCGAGATATAAATCAATAAATCAAGCAAAACTATAGAAGAGAAGCAGATTTTAACATACAGAAAAATACAAAATAGATATAAGAAATACTAACAAAACAAACATTTTTATAAAAGAAGGATGGCTAAAAGCTAGATCAAAGCTGCACTGTGTAATTTTCTTTGTTAAAACTGAATGAAGTAGAATTACTGAGTAAGCAGGGAAAAAACAATGTAAAATAAGGTGTGCGTGCACTGCTGCCAGCACCCTGTAAAGCCTGAAATAATGTAAAAAAACAGAAGGTTGGATTTCACAGGAGTTTTTCAGACCTTGTCAGATGTCTTAACATCACACATGCAGGCTGAAAAAGAAGGCCCGGCTTAATATTTGTATCTCAAATGCAAAATTAACATTGTATTGATGAAGATATAATCACAACAGGAGACGATTCACTTACATCATCGGTAGACAAGTAATTTACCAAGTGTTCTCTTTTGATATACTTTCAATGCGCTTGCAAACATCAGAATCACACAGTAAGTCTTGTTGGGATCTTAAGTACAACCGACATTGCAAAATATTCGTCCACACATTGCATACAATAACACGTTTCCACCAGAAAGGTCTCCAAATACCCAAATGTTACACAGAACTGTTTAAAGCTGTTTTTAAGCTGTTACAAAGTGTGCACCAGGGGGGTGGCTAGAATTTCATTTAAGGTGGGCCTAGTTACAGGTTGAGGAGGCCAGGAAGCAGTACATCCCAGAGATATCACTATAGTAACCACCAACTAGCCCACTTCACTGTAGCTACCATAACCACATAGCAAAAAAAAAAGACACATTATTCAACTATGTTTTCTTTATAATGGACAAAATTAGTGCTTAACTAAGTCGCTATAGCTATGTAAGTAGAATCCTGTGCTAGAAATGAACACGGCTCAGCTAGGTTCCCACCATCTGTAGAAAGAGTTGAGGAGGGTGATGCTGTGTTTAACATTACATGTTGGAAAAAGCATTCTATGCCTTATTGCAGATTTGGTTTCAAAGTGCAATGTTAAACGACCGATGGTGGATGCAGCCATGTAAACACTGCCAAAAATTTGCGATGATTCAAGCAGAGCTTAAGTAGTCACTTTTATTTATTTAAGGTGGCATTTAAGATGTCCAATAGCATGTGGCAGTGATTTCCAAAGATCTGCTGCATACAAATTTGAACCTCATTTCGAGAATCATTCCCAGATCTATAATTTAAAGATAGTAGAGTGCCAAACCTCTCCTCCACTGTGTCACTTCTCTTTCCTCTGTGGTGACTGAAACATTACCAGTCAATACCATATTTCAGCTTTGTGTCGCTTATTATCAAAAAATGTTTATCTGTCCTTCATTGTATTTTTTTATTCTGGAACATGACACACATGAGATCAGAATCAGAATTCTACAGATAACTGGCAAGACAAAATCAAAGGGTCCTGACAAAACTATGAACAGGTAAGATTAACTAACCTAATTAAAGTTTTTGTTTTAAAGTCAACATGATTTGGAAATCATAAAGCATAGCATGGTTTTTCGCTGTTGGAAAGGAGAAGTTACATAACTACACTTTGATCAAATATGACAGGAAAATAAGAATATTGTCTTCTAAATAATAGTATGAATTACCCTTAATTTAACCAAGGACATGGACTAACTAGGTACAAAAAAACAAAAGCCGATATTGATTTCAAGAGACTGAAATATAGAAAGAAACTCTGGCCCACTGTCTAATAGGTGTTCATGTTCATTCAAACTTAAGTATTTCTATTTTTGTGTTAGGGAAGCAGCTTGCTACTGTACAGCTATGCAGTGTGAAAATGGTTAGTATTGTTTGGGTGTGCATGAAGAGAGGAACTGCAGGAGGAAGAGAAACAGTAAATGGAAGGATGAGTTGCATGGATCAGAAGATACTGGGCCTCATTAGAAGATTGCTAAAAGAAACAAAATTCCATAGAGATTGCTTTCCTCCTTACCTCTCCTCTTTTCTGCTTTCTCTCTTTCTCCTTCTGCAACAAAAAGAACTCTCCTGTCCACTGGACCAAGCCATGGGACAGAGACAGGGGACTGGACAACTGTCATGTCTCTGACACACACACACACACACACACACACACACACACACACACACACACACACCCTCAGGCCCAATTAAAGCCAGACCGTTGCTGTTAAGGGAGCTCAGTGGGCCACAGGGAGCCAGCGAAAGTCAAGAAAAAGAGCAG